TAACTGCGCTCGCCTGCTGCTCGCCGCAATGGTCTAATGCTGCAGCCACCATTCTCACGTGTCCGGGGCCAAAATCACAAGGCGGATTCAAATTTTGATTCCTGCACTAACACACGAGATTACTAAATACGACTATCCTGTGTACTTACAGGAACGATCTTTGGATAGGTCAGAGGAATCCCCCGTAGCCATCTACATTGCGTGTCATTGAGGACAGAAACAAAACCTGGCTAAAGTGAACGGAGTCAGAAGAGAAATCAAGCAATGGGAGTACTCGACTTCCTGGAATTCCCTGTGGAACACGGGTGGTAGTCAAATGAAAACAAATTTAGTTCAGAATATTTATCCTAAGTTTGATTGTACTCTACGCCACTGCGACCAAAAAGGACCCCAAATTTACTCAAAGTAGAGCAGAAAAGTTACATTTTCTCGGAGTTAAAAGGATGATAGTTTCTTCAACTTGGGTTTCTTTGCATAAATTTATAGCGGCTTAAATTTTTGCATAGCACTCGCTACCAAAAAGACAAATGCTCAATTTGATATCCTTATGTGCGCAACACAATAATAAAGTAAGTTTTACTACATCTGGTCCAATGAAGTAAAACAAAACTGGCTAGTTAGAGGGCCCGAATTCCAATAAAGTAATGATGTACTTTGCTGATTTTCATGCTTTACATGTGCATTTGAGGATTCAGTTGAGGAACGTTAACCACGAGTTTAATTTTCAAAATTAAACTACTCAGAATTTCCCGAACTTGTGCATTTACTCCAACTAATTATTCGCTGGAGTGGTCAGAGAGGGAGATTTGCTCTCATGTCGGGTGGGCAAGGGCATAGGCAAAGTGGGATTGGCAAGACATTTTCTTGTTTTTACGAGCCTTACCGTAACCCCTACCTGCTGTTCGTCAGCAAACATTTACGGTGCCTTCGCTTGAACGTTACTTTTTTTCTCAACACACCTGTCGGCACGTAGACGAGAGAGATCATGGACTTGAACAAAATAACTTGACTTGGGTAAGCACTGAAAGTCCATTTACGCATGCTCAGCCAAATGAAAACTTGTAGCAAAAATTCGTGACCGGATGCGCTATCGAGTAAACTGGCTTTGCTTGTGGAAGATTGAAAGCAAGCTGTGCATGGTCATGAATCGGAATCTTGACGATACATTCAGCTAAAGTCTTCGAAGTTGTAACAACGCCATCTTTTTTTTCAAAACTAAAAAGTAAACAGGAGGATTCGTAATTGAGAATTGGACCCGCCTCGGACTCCAGCAACCTGTATCTTAGTAAAATCCACACATTTCGAAATTCGCAGACCTCCAAAGGAATGCAACCTGACGTCCCAATTGGCACTTTTCGACAGCTCCTCGATGCACCTCTCGAGGCTACCACATTCGATGGAACAATGTGGGAATTTTCTAAAATGAGACTTTACCTGTCATAGCCACAAGGTCATTTATTCGAATCTTTCAGGTTAGCTTACATCTTCCCACAAGGAAAGCAAAAGCCCATTTTTAATGCAACAGAACATGAACAGGCTGTGTCGACAGTAATGAGATCGATTATGAGTTTTAGCACCATTCTGATGGCATGTTACTTATTTGCATTAAATAGTATGTAAAGTCTTTATTTCAGGTTGTCAGCAGTTGAGATCTGTTCACAAGACCTCCATGGAAAAATAAACTGATCTGCTTGAATTCTTCAACTATCAGGCGGTGTGACTTTTGCATTCCATCATTTTGATGACTTTACTTCATCAAGGCTGAAGTGAATTACTTAACCTTAACCCAAGGTAAAAGACAACTCCGGCGTGGTATTTGGAACATAGCGGGAGTGATAGAGGGCAAACGAGTGCTACAGCAGCTTTCTTGCAATGCAATCGGATGTGAGTTGGATTGAAAGGAGGGCTTGGGCGCAGGAGGCATGATGACACGAGTTGTCAGACTAGTCCGATTTCTTTAGAGGAATGATCTACCGGCAGCGAATTTGCACATTTACGCTACCCAGCCGATTAAACGAACTGTCTCGCATGGCCTCTGGATCCCACCGTGGAAGCTGCACCAAGGGCGCAGTAAATAATCTGACTTGTCATGGAGGTGTTTAAAACAAGTATCAGGTTAACTTTCCGAACATTTTTTGGCAAATCATCGACGTAAGAGGAGATGCGCTACGTCCTGATCCCATCCTTGAACTAACATGATAGATGGCTCAGTCTCATCGAGGAAGTGGTCGATTTTGCGTGGAAGTGCACTCCAGCTCCACAGACACGGAAACGCCTGGTGAGGCCGAATTGGTAACAAGTGGCAAAGGTGGATGTTTTTTGCAAGCTTTGTGGGCTTTAGTGCTGGCCAAAATAAACACATCCACCTGTACTAAATGGATGTGAAGCCCTGACGCTGCTCGCTTGTGCCTGGTTTCTGATTTATACTTTAGTTTGGGTGTGTTGCATTGAACACCCGTTAAATTACTTCGAAGGGACAGTAATCCCACATATTAATTGACGTCATTTTAATTAATTGTCAAAGATGTTAATGAATAATGCCTTTTAGGCTACAAAAACTGCTGCTATAAGTTCGCATTAGATGAAATCAATCGAGAGAACAAAGTGTGAACCACGAACCAAATACTTTGGTCACCAGCAAAAGTACCCCACCACCGACGTAAAACAACTTCAGAGCGCAGTTGTAATGAGTCGTCTTCGTATATAATTATGCAGTCGTGTGATTGCATAGTTGCACAACTGTGAGCATTAACGCTACCCAAAGACTCGTTATTGGGAAACCGCATGCAATAAGGCATAGTTTACCAGCAGTTCCATAACCACGCAAACTTCTGGCGAGATTTAAATAAGGCGAACAAATCTGAAACGCCGAGAGCCCGGAGCGGGCAAAATAAACACAACCAATGGGAAAGCACGCAGAGGGAACGACTCAGACATGCAGGTTACCGGCTGAAAAGCAGATTTCATAGTTAGATGAGTAATCCGAGCTGGTTTGGCTTTTTTGACTTGACTGACGCTGGGTGGACCTATTTCGATACAAGGATTGCAAGTTTGCAGCCAAATCAGGGGAAGCGTTAGAGAAGAAGAGTAAACTTAGGTGCATTCGTTAGTTAAGCTCTGCTCAAATTTGCATTTACTGTGGAACTGTTTAACACATCCGGTGCCACGGTTTGTCTACACATAATAGGGCGAGTTGAAAACACTTAAATTTAAACGCTGTGGAATTTTAAAACAGGACTACACCACACCTGACGACGAGTGTGGAAGATTACCTAACGGAATTTCTGTTGGGCCATCACAGCCTAAAAGTCGAGTCCATACAGCGTTTTGAATGGGTCACCGCGACTATCTCGAATGGCTTAGGAAGAAGCAGTGAGCTAAATGCTGAGGTGTCTTGTACATTTGTTGATACGAACGAAACAGTGCTTAGTTATGGCTACGAGGCTACCAAACATTCGTGATGTGGTACGGAGGGGACAATGAGCGAAATAAAAAAAAAACAACTTAATCTAAATAAACGACTGCAGCCTACAGGGGAGGTTACCCTCACTTGATGCGACTGCGTGGGTAGAAGCCAACTGGTAGTAGCTACGAAAACGACAAAAATTAGCGCTGATCCGCGTTATACACAACCTCAGGCATAACTGGAAATTCAGATACCCTTGGTAACTGAAGGAAAACGATCTTGTTCCTCTATACGGATAAGTCATACACACCAAAAAGAACACGAAAAGGCGGGAAGTAAAAGTGGCTGAAGTTCACCCACCTGTTTTCCGCACCAAGTCCCTTAACTAACAAATGTGTCAAATGGTAGACAGTTTAGGGTGACGAGGGAAGGCAAATTCATGAATTAGTCTATGCGGTAGAAACAGTTGACTTTAAAATACCGATTTGCAAATAAAAATAATGGCGATGTAATTAAATTTACTCATGAGGAGTTTACCAGAAATATCCAAAATCGCCAGGGTTGAGGTATACTGATATAAATGACCTCATCGTGTTGTGCGATTTTGTTAAAACTAATTTTCGCACAACTCGGGAATGCATGCAGACCCTTAACATAGCTGGTAATAATAGAGTGACCAAAAAAAACAGCAAGGCGGGCTACTTTTGGCATCGTGTTTGACTCAATGAGCGCCTGTCCAATAGCCGGCAGGCAAATTAATTTGTTCCCCAAGGGCGCGAGACGCAAAACTCCTCGCCCGCCCAGCAGTGATTGGCCAAACTGAGCTGCGATCGATAAAAGCCGTCCGCCAAAACAGGCGCGCTGGGCGGAAGAGGACTACTCGCAGAGATCACGCTTTCCACGTGCTCTGAAAGTTAGTTAAAACATCGAGAAAAAAAAAACAAATTAGTCCCTTTCAGGTAAGGTATATTTTGCCCGAGCAGAAATCTTGAAAATGTTTTCAAATGGTTGGTCGCCTTATTCTTCAGATGAATTCATTTGGCCCAAGTAACGACTGCCTGCACAAGTGTTATAAACTAAAATCACCGCATTTGGGGATATCATGACCTTGGGAGTGGAAAATTGTGCACTTAGGCTTGGTAACATTACAAACCAACGTACTAAAACGGTGAACACTACAACCCGAACAGTGTTGAGGAGTGTAAGCAAGTAGGGATCAAATTCTACCCCCACCAATATTACTGCAGTTTCTTTTCCATCGGCGTGGCAACCGATGCTGCATAAAACAATCCCAAATACGTCCTTTTAGCCACTGGAGTTCGAATCTAGTCTAAACCCAAAATTTAAACAGCGTTCGCTCCCCACATGTTGTCGCAAAGAAAACACGGACATTGCAATAATATTAATAGCATAATTTGTACTTTTAATAAAATTGGAGATGTGGTGGTGCTCGTAGATAAGGTAAAGTAACAAAAAATCAGACATACAACATGGAGAGACAGACACGCGCGCACAGACACAACATCTGATCCCGCTTCGATTGAGAAGACAACACGTCAGTATTGCACGCTAGGATGAGCCCTTGCCATCGCACCTAAACAGTCTCCGACCCTCCGCCATGCTGGCTCTGGCTCCCGGCGCTCTGGCCACCCATGACACCACCAGTGGCTGTTCCCGTGGTGCCTGGAGGGTAGGAGAGTCGTTCGAGGTCACTGATGAAGGTCTCAGGCGTAAGCAGGTGAGTTCCTCCAACCAAAATGTCCCACTGTTTCCCTCCGCCACCGCCACCCGCCACAGAGGTGTACGCTGACATGACCTCATAGGCACAGCGCATTTCGGAGTAGGAGATGCCGCCGAGGATGAAGAAGATGAGGCGAGGACCCGAGCGCGTCTGAGCGCCCTTTTCGCGATGCCACTGACCGTAGCGAGCTGACATGGAACCGCCCCCAACACTGCCGCCTCCTCCAGAAGTGCGACTCAGACCTCCTCCGATCCCTCCCGACTTGACGGGGCCTCCACCAAAGAAGGGAAACAGGCGAACGTCTAGACGGTCCTCGCAGGCATCCTGTCAGCGAAACACGGTGTTATTTGGACAATGTACAGGAGATTTGAGAGCAAGCGAAAGAAAAGAGTACCTCAATTAGGTCTTTTAGGTAGGGCGTCCACCGTGACATCTGGTATTTTGGCTCATCGGTGCGGGTTCTGCGATTCGCCGGCAGGTAGGGTTGTGGGGCCTTCCTCCGTCCGATTGTCTAGGATACACAAACAGAAGGTAATCAGAAAATGGCCTCGAAAATGACCAACTCGATACACCTTACGGTTTGGCACTTTTATCGGTGTGGTTTATACAATGCGTGAGGATCTGAGCAGCCCTGAGATGAGGCGTCAATCAAGGGGAAAATGCCCACTCAAGCTAACTTTGAATATAATTTCAAAACCCAGGATTAAGTCTTTAATGGTAGCAGTCTTTTTTCTTGCAGCCAGAAAAAAACTGACTCCAGTTTTGGACCTTCATCGCAGCTCAATTATCATATTTTAAAACGCGCAGCGACAGGCATGCCTGGGATTAGTTCAGCAGGTGACAGTTGACTTGGTGAGCGCTGAGAGATTTAAAAAGTAACGAGTACGAAGCCGAGTATGATAAGGACAAAGAGAGGGCAATTTGTACGCACAGGTCCACCACCAGCTTCCTGCAGAACAGGCACCCCGAGAGCCGCGAGATTTCGGACAACGGCGGCCTGCGGTTCGGGGATTTGAGCATGCTGAATAAGTTTGGCTAGATTCTCCTCACTTATGCCCCCACGTTGGATGACGTAAAGCAGAATCAGACGCAATTTGTCGTACGTGGAGACGTTGGAATCAATGAGAAGCGGTACGGTATTCCTCATGTGGTCCTTGATGCGCTCACCTTCGGCGTCTGTACCAAGCGCTAGATCCTGTGAGGAAATTAGCAGAAAAGCACACCCAATGAAAGTGCTCAAATGAGCTAACCTCAAAACTTACGAACAGACTTAAAAACCCGCCCAATTGAACTTTTAAAGTATAGACACTCCAAAGCATTACACCAGAAAACACTAGATGTGGTTTCTTTGGGAACCTTGTCAAACCACGAGGCCAATTTTCACCAGACACGTAAAGTAAACCTTCAGATATTTACACCAGGCCCTAGCAATTAAGCTAAATACGAACATTACTGACAGTGGTAGTATCAGCACTGCTAAAGCGTGATATTGAGATCACCAGATAAGTGGAAACGGGTGGCCTAATCAGCTTCAAAAAAATAAACACCTTAGCCCAAACGGGTGAATTTTACTGGAACACTGGGACTATCACAAGCCAGTCGAGATGCATCGGTAGCTTCTCACAAAGAATCGATAAACGCGTTGCCAGGAAGGGGAAAATTCTCACCTGCTCGACCTTGCAGAGTTTGTTTGTGTAGGTCTGGTAGTTGTGCATGCAGTCCTCTGCGAGGTGGAAGTGCGTCGAGTACATGGAGAGTTCCTTCTGGTATTGAGGCATCTTCTTGAGCATCTGAGAAAGATCCCGAATGGTGGTCTTATCACCGCCGCTGGCCATTCGTTTCTCTTCTGCAAACTTCTTCAACTTGTTTGTGACCTGGGAAGGAGTAAAGAGGGGACATCACTGCTAACTGTCTGCAAGCCACTCCACCTTCGCAGTTCTGTGGGTTTATCGACTTGGTCAAACGTGCTACTTCGCAAATTACAATTCATAGTAAAACATCTGCACGGTCAGAAATTGAGTCTCACCAGATGCTCCATCAGTCACCAAGTCAGCGACCTAAATGTGAACACCAAGCTTAGTAAAGTGGAGACCAATCAACGGAGAGCCCTACCACAGGGACACCACTAACTTCGGCGCATCTCTGACTGGGTCTCTACCAGCAGGGTAGCTGTTTATGCTCAATCGAGTAATAAATAGTCCAGGAAGGGCATCGATCCGATCGCCTCTCCACGGCTACGGGACCAGACGTATCTATGATAATGCCGGGGCTGGAAACGCCACAGGATTAAAAGGCTTTGGTATTTCTTTTAAGTTTGGAGATATCACCGCATAGAGGCGTTACGTCACATGGCCGCGATTCAATCCGTGCAGTAGTTCAATGCACTTTATTTGGTCGCGGTCTCGAGTGAATTCTGATCACATTTCCGAGAGAGATCAATCCTACCATGAACTGACCCCATTTGATAGGAATGTCATGCGAACCGAAAACAAGTGACAAATGACTGGGACGCAGCCCATTCGGAGTGAACGATGATAAGGAGGAAGGGATTAAACTGATAAAAGAAGCCTCACCTGTTGGGAGACAACAGCAATGTGCTGGTGGCGCAACTCACACCAGAGGTCGTCGGATTCATCAAGAATAACCTCCTTCTCTCTTTCTTCGGGTCCCGACGTGTTGATATAACTGGAAACAAAGGCAAATAAACAACAGGTGACACAACGATACTGGTGGCGGTAGGGCGAAAATAGAGTAGTATTGGAGTATCTCTAGCACTTTGTGTGATTCAACCGGGACCAAACATAAAAGGTGTACCCAGTAGATCTGCAGTATTGCGGGACGCACGAGACCATCTGACCGATTCACACCAAGGGGCAACCGAACTAATCGATTTTTTAACGCCATTGGAAAAAGGGGGAAGGCAAATTTTTAGAGAAACCGCGTTGAATACCATCCTCTTGTTATCCAGATCATTCTAATAAAATCCATAGTGTTGTGTCCAATTTAAAATAAGTCGCAAGCTTGGGTTCAGGCCTTCTTTGAGAGGATGAGTTTCACAGCCCATAATCAACTTGGTTTTGCGGGCTCGATGACGTAAAAGTGGTTACTGAATCACACAGGCACTCTAAAATCCCTTATTATGTCGAGGTTCAGAAGAATTAGGTTCGAGAAGGAGGCCATATCAAATGACTGCCGAGATCTGGTCATACGTTTTTGCTTTAAACACAATTCTAACGGGTCGGTGGTCAAGAGATATTGAATCTAAGTGTAACACGAAGTCAGGGATAACCAGGAACGAAAGCATGTATTATGCAATTATAAACAAAAATATCTTGGACACAAGACATTCAGGAGGAAAAATCCAAGCAGCAAGGATTCCTATTGCATAAATGAAGGCTTATTTGATACACGAACATTTTCGTTGTAGAACACCTATACAAGAGTTGGTGACGTACGTAACTAGGACGACGTTGATAACTGGACTTAGGAAATCCAAGTTAAAACTTTCGAAGAATAAATCTAACAACATTCTGCAAGAATGGATTTTGTGTTGAGGATGCCAACAACAAAGAATCACCACTGAAGTAAATACTAGATTCACGTGTGACAGGGATTGAAAGTTTATGCTTAAATAAACACGTAGTATTTGTGTACAACAGGAAACACGTACACATACCTTCCTGCACAAATAAAGACACATGTAAATTCCACCAAAAAATCACCCAAAAGAATGTGGTGAATCAAGCACCATAAACTGCATCACATAAGGGCTACTAAGAAGATTCAAATATGGTATATTTGGCCCCTGTAGAGTAAAACCATTACGAGGCGCGCAAGCAGTTCAAAACGCACACAACAAATAGGTTTGTGGGATCATACATATTAATGTAAACAAGCATAAGAAAAAGAATACACAAAGGATTTCGTAAAGTAGGAGTCTGGTTTGCAGATGTGTCGTAAATATCAGGGACCACTTAAGATTCGATTAGTTCTTTTCAGGTAGTGTACAAGGGTTAGGAATTAATAACTACGATGGACATCAAACTTGGACTCATTTCATTTATGAGGACAGCAAGAACATTAAACAAAAACTAACCGATAGACGTCATTTTCAATGGCAAGCAGATCATAAGCCATTGCCTGGAATGTTAGTTCATGAAGGATTGGTGAAATTGGATCAAAACCACGGTCAAGTATGATGAGCTGGCTGCGGTCTTTGTACGGACCCTGCATGATAGATAAACGGAATGCATGTAAAGTATTCGGTTAAAGAATGGCAGTTTAGTAATGGATCTAAACGAACCTCTCCCATCTGTGGGTCATCGGCCTTATAAGCATCCAATTTCTGTTGTACCAATTGGGCGAATTCACAATTTTTGTCATGCTGACTAATTACCAAAAAATGACAAATAAATGACCGAAACCATTGCATGATTGCAAAAATTTCAGACATACTTTCGATAGCGAATGGGCGGATACTCTCCGACAGTAGCACAAAGGGTAGCTATCTGTTCTGCAATATGTTCCAAATGATGCATCTGTCCTGGGTGCGGAGGATAACTCTGATGGAAATAGAATTGAGTGCTGTCGGGAGAATCCAGGGAAAATACTCGACCTTCAACAGGGAGAAAGGCAATATTGATTTCCTTTAGAGTCTTTATAAAAGTTGCACAGCTGGATTGACACAAACGATTGAACAACTCATCTGGACACGCTAGATGAAGAAAAGAATGAAGTCAGCTGCGAAATAGAACGTAAACGGGAAGAATGAGTCGCTTGTTCATTTTTACCTTCCGTCAAAAAAACATGAGCCGCTTTATACTGAAAACGCGGACCCTGGAAATCATTCATCAATGCCTGGATCGACTACAAAAATAAGATGTTTACAAAACTGAATACCCGCTCCGTTGGAGTTATCAAGTATATTGCTTCCAAAGGCAGAATTTCGCGACGTTTGCTGACATCCTCAACAACTATAACAGGAAAATTACAACATTTTTAACTAACGCGTTATTCCTTCATTCATTATTTCGTGCATTTTGCAGCACGAGGACACCATTCGCGTTGACAACTTGTCCAGTACCAATACTTTCCATTCCTTGGGTTTTTTAAGTGGAAGGATGACCTCGTTCAATATCTCTGAAAATGGGTAGATAAATAAAACAATAATACTTACTTTTTGCAACACACTGCTTGAGAGACATCCGGACAATAAATGGACGAACAAAACACTCAAATTGAGCAAGAATAAAATGCCACATTAAAAACACATTTGAGGTCACGCGAACAAATTTAGTACAACGTTGTTAAGTACCAGTAAGTAATCAAAAAGATATACAGATGCCAAAAAGTTATAAAATTTAAAAAATGTCAGATGTACAATGAGATCATTTTAGACCGTTGCTTCACAAGGTTGAAACTGCACTTAATAAAGTTAAGCAACGTTTTGTTAATTTATGGAAGTTACGATGTCGGTCACTTCTAAATGGATTTGAATAAACCAAAAAAATTGTAAGGTATTCGCAGAGTAAGAATAACGACGTATTTGGGGGACCTAAATTGAAAACGACAACAATCACATTCCCCATTACCAATGAAGAAGCTTAGAAGTTTGTTTAATCACCTTTAATATTTTTATCAATTTCGGCAGATAAAAATCAATTACTTGAAGCTCATTTTTGCATCGTTAGTTTTGACGCACGTCATGGCAAGTGAAATCATAAATTTGAAGTCACTTAGTAAAAGGTTTCAGCTACTAAAATGCTGAGAAAAAGCTTCAAATCGGACAATAAACCTGCATGTTAATTAAACAGTGGTTTTGTTAACTGGGCGGCGAGGGTGTTTCGCTCTCAATTAACATAATCCAACATATTTTAAGTTTAAGTCAACTGACCTATAAATGTTTAGGCATGACTATCTAGAAAACTTCAATCCGGTGTGGACAACAACTTGCATCATCTCTGAATATATTTACGGAAAAGAAAAGCAATTTAAAAATGTTATTTAGCCACCTTTTGGACTCTAAGGTCTGACTCAATATCAAGATTATATTCAGCGGGCATAAACTATTCGAGAATGAACGTAAATAATGTATCTCTTTAATACTGCGAAAACTAATTTAAAGTTTTTTACAGTTTGTAATTTAACAAACATGTCTTAAATTTCGTATTATAACAAGTAGCCCTCTTACTAAATTCCGGTGTAACAAAATTACTTTTATCAATATTTCTTTTCCCGAGACGTTTTGGAGACGCTAGAGTTCTATAAACCGCGTTTCCAAATTAACAAGTAGCTTGAGATCTTGATATCTTTGGCTTATGTAGCTCTTAACGGCTTCTGAATACTGAAGACTGTCAAGTATAACCATTATGACCAAAACTACTGCCATGATATGGGTTTGATTATTTGATCATTCTAACTAAATATGGCAAAAGACATAATTACAGAGATAAATTATTTTAACATTTTTATCAGCCAACTTCTAAACTCCTATTCTTAATAAAAGGAAGAAACATTCTGCAGCTAGTAAAAAATCGCATTTTTGCACCTTAGAAGCATTCTGGCATTATCATATTTATGGATTTGCTTTTTGAATGTTTCACATAAGAGGAAAGTGCACAGTAATGCAGTTATTTGGTAAGAAATATACAACTCGTAAGAAAAATCTATTCAGACAAGCTTGTTATTACAGGCTTCTGCCAATGCAACTTGGTAAATCAGTCCTAACTCACGTATGTTTTACTCATCTGACTCCCATGGCAGCATGATTTAGAGTTGACTAACTGCACGAGAGGTACTCATAGAATGCCAAAGTGGATAAAATACATGGCAGATTGTACATTTACTGTATGTCTCATATCGTGTACGCTAAAGTTTTCAAGCATTTTGAGTGTACGGCAGCACAGGGGTAGCAAACAATGGACATTCCCACAGTTTTATTGTGATGAAAAAATAATAGCAGCGGCTTTGTAAGCAAGTACAAAATGTTTTAATTGGATTTAGGTGTTAATCGTGCATTGCAAAGAAACTAATTAGTGTGTTTAGATATGGCTTCAAGGGGCTTGCTCCACTACACAGTGGCTTTCATTAGAATAAAATGTGCTCTTATTTTTAACCAGGTTTAAAATCCAGCAACTTTTGCTAAGGAATGTTAAGTTAGACCTAAATGACGACAAAATATAAAAAATGAATAACTCTTTAAAAATTATACTTGTAAGAACTGGGTTTATGTAACAGAAAACTCTCCTTGCATATTTTTTTTCAAGCCTGTAAATAAATAACGTTTCTTTGTTTGGTTTACCATAAAAAGACTTTGAAATTTTTAAGCTTACAATCGTCTTTTAATTAAATGAATCATTTTTCTTGCAAGTACTAAATCTGTGACTTGCACACCAAAGCTACCTGTAGGAATCGATATCACTAAGATAGCTGCCTTAAAACCAATTCCTTCCCCTCTGATTCAATGCAATCGTCAGAAATCAACAATTAAAATGCATTTTATTCAGCGAAATAAACAGACTGCATCCTAAATTATGATCTCATGAGAAACACACCGGGACTTTTAAAAGAGGTAGTAATTTTTGTAGATTTCCTATGGCTGTGTATTTGCAAATGTCAAAACTTCAAATCCTGGTGAATATGCGAACGTGAATCAAGAAACAACAAAACAATCCGGCACGTTGAATTCGTATTATAATTATCTAATTGTTTTGACATTGAATTATTATCCAACAAAAACAGTATTGTAGAATATAAAGTTATGCAAGAAGTTTTGTAACATTCTTCCAACTAATGGGAATGGTAGCAAGCAACAAAATGACAGACAGGGTCAGGATTTATTGAAACCAGGCAGGAAAAAGTTTACATTCCTGATAACCTGAACGGTCCCTTTTTTTCTAACGTTTGCTGTCACATTCCAATTTTTTGGGCTTGCACCACTGTTCCTTAGCAATCTTTAATAATTATTCCAGTGGTTATGAGCACTTCAATTTGAAATAGCAAATTTCTTTGTTGAACTTAAGCCTACATGAACTTCATCTTCTGTTATTAGTTTGTGATTGTCTTCGAGTGATACCTCGGTTGTTTCGGGGTTGATTGGCGGCACCGTTTCAAGTCGAGTCATGTTAACAGGATTCCTTGAACGGTTATTGTTAGGTCAGCGATACTGGCACTGACAGAAGCGTTAGAAACTGTATGAAGCTCGTCTAATTATATTAGGCACTTCTTTATTATACTAATATGCACGTTTAATACAAAAAATCGATATCCCTAACTGCAAAGATTCTAAAACCAGCTTTAATTATTAAAAACCTGTTGTGGACCCCAGCATGTAGTCTGAACCACGCCGGGGCCACGGAATTTATCCTGGCCCGACTACGCTTGCCGGATGCCCGCGATGAAGAAAAAGACCGGAGAGGGCGTGGACACAACCATTTACTACAAAACCCAACCACGTTGGTGTCGTTGTGTCGTGTGTGGGGTTTGCGCGTATGTATTTATACCTCGGATGTGAGAGTCATAGATGTGCTAACATCGAGTCCTAGGTGTGAGGTTAATCCAAGATACATATGCATGTGAATGAAGGGGTAGACGAGAATTTGCGCGGCTGTCGCCATGCTGCAAGAAAGGGGAACTTGTATCGGAGGCGAAGCGATCGGGTTAAGGGATGTGAATAAACACGATTCACAACAAACCCTTGACAGTGGGAGCTTGGTAGTGGCAGAGATTCGGATCATCCTTTGGTATAGTAATCCGCCAACAGCCAATGTTTTTATTTATGCGATCACTCATAATTTTTGGTTTGCAAATGTAATAACCATCAAGCGGATATGGTAGGGTGTGATAAGGTCTTCTGCATCCACAAATGGCACACCTGCGTGACGATCGGCAGTCTCAGGCAGCATGATTAACCCTGAAACAGCGCTGACAACCGACAACCTTTGAATCCTGTTTTAAGAAAGAGAAATTTCACACCTCCCTGCATATTGACTTGCTATAAGAATGAACAGAAAGGCAAAACGTGATAATCACGTTGGTGCAAATTGCTAGTGTTCCAAGCAGGCAAATGTCCAAGACGTCTTCTCTGCTAGTACAAGAATTTGATAGCTATTTAACCAAACATGGAACTGGTAATGACAGCACATTCTTCCACCAATATTAATCAGAAATTAAAGCAAAATTTTAACTTTTCTTTTGCATTGTAATTGCTTCTAAGTAGTGGACGTCCTAGCAATTCATCCCAAAATGATGCGGCAAGGGTTTGAATTTGACCCGGTTTTTTTGAAGGATTTTCTTCGCAGCTTTAAAACCAGTTTAAATGCCAGAATTTATGCAGTCCTCTAATGCTTTCACTGCCTTACCTTCACAGAACTGCTGCCAATACGCTAGACATGATGCTCTGTCGTTTGTTCTGCATTCAACAACAGGAAGGAACTGCAAAAAATGCGTTATTCAATTTCCGGCGGCCATGAAATTTCTTAATCTTTCGTAGATTTGAGACATTATACACCTCATTTTAGGCATTTTTTGTCGCAACATTTTAGTTAAATGCGCTTCTTCAATTTCAAGCGGTGTTGTTCAGTAACTGAAATCCTTGGTGAAAAGTAGCGTCGATTTCACCATCATTCATTGTATAGTGGTTAACTGTGTAAATATCATAACCTCAGTTACTAGTGGGCATACGCCCTTCAATTGAAGAACAATAAAAATAATCCGGTACTGCATATTCTTAATACTATTGCTTCCTTGTTGCGACTTTAAAAAGTGTCACAACAAAACCCGCATGCTAAGTAATAGGTTATGACAAGTTATCAGGCATGCTTGATTTGAAAATGACCACATGATAAGTTTAGGTGACAATGAATGTGCTTCATTAGTACATTGCTGAATCAGTGGTTAGATTCATGACTTAAGTTAATACTCTGGTCTATAATTGATTCTCAAAAGTATGAATATAATATGGAGTCAATTTATTGCAAAAGTGCAAGTACAGCTTTCAAGTGTAACAGGTAGCCTGTGTATATAATAACTGTTTAAATTTCTGAACAAAGTGTAGTAGAGTGAATTCAAGACAACCAGTTGAGTTCACATTTGTTCATGCTTGATAAGAATGCTATCGTTTAGAGAGTCGCAAGCTACAGCCTTTACCTTAAGTAAGTTTGAATTTAAAAATGGAAATTCCAATTAGCTATTTCGGGAAAAAGCCCCCATCTAAAACTTTAAATTTATAAAAAGAATCAACATATTGGACTCGATATTATGTATGTTAGTATTCTGACTGTACTCATATTACCTCTGCAAATGTCAAGATACTACTCTTGTCTAAGTTTGCGACTAAAAAATTTTGATAATACTTGGATAGCATACAAGACGCTACATAACCTGTCGTAAAAATTAGATTGACAGACTGTGCATAGAACAGGCTGAAATAAAAACATTAATGAAAATATATTGATGGACTACTTGACAAGTTCGAATTTTCTCATTACCTTTTGTCTTAACGCTTGGTAAATCTAGGATACTTTAACTCATTAATGAAGTATACTTACACCAACGCAGTTGCAGAACAAATTTGAAAAAATCTCAATCTATCGACTGACATATTCCAATACACAATGCTTCAAAGTACAAATAACGATTTCCGAGTCACATTTGAACTTGCCTTTATTCGGCATAATGTCACGATTCCTCTCAATAAACACAGCGTCTAAAAAAAGGAGAGTTGTTAAGATGTTGCTGATATAATGTCAAACCAAATTCCTGTTTTCAAGAAGTAGTGGCTATTTCCTTTAACTTCTCTGTAAGTTGATTCGACTGTGTGAATATGTGTGAACAATTTATTACTACCCAATTATGATTTGAGGTTGAAATCCTTGAGCAGGAACTAAAAATCTAAATCAGAGTTTCCGATGTAGTAAAAAGAAGTGTAAGATATTTAACAAGCATGTTAGGGAACAGTTCAATCTAGATCGAATCATTTTGAAGAGACTGAATAATTACCGATGGGTAAAGGTTCATAATATAATAGTAACCAAGGCTTTGTCATTCCCTCAGAAAAGACTCTAAAATATCATTTAAGTAGTTCTCTGAAATACCTTAACCAGTACTAGCAAAAGCAAGTCTATTAAAGCCAAACTGCCCCAAATTCACGTTTTATGGTAACATGAATGTGTCAATTCCGTGAATATACAAATATAACATGGTGCAATAACAGCTCTCATTATTGTGAAATTATTAATTCCTGTGCAACGAGAGAGCATATTTATTAAAATTATAACATTTGTGCCACAGAAAATGCATCTGTATAAAACTGGAACCAGCCTTAAACATTGTTTTAGAAATAGGTTTCTATATAAATGCGAAAATTCTTTCATTGTTAAGATTGTTGATTAAATCCATTTTGACAAGCTAAATTAATGATAGTGTGATTCGTTGTGAGTAGTGAATTTAAACAAAGTGAAATTCAAAATGGTGTGTTTTAATAAACAATCAATTATTGTTCATTGAAGGACGCTTTTGGCATTGGCTCTGTGCCGGGATGTCGGCTGTCATCGGCTCCTCTTGGCGAGTATCTCATGGTGCGTGTGTCATACGTTTGTTTTCGTAACTCTAAGTCTGTCAATCAAACTAACTGCCCATAGTTCTGTTGAACTTATTTTATTGCCAATCTGTCGTCTCTGTTATTTCCATCCCGCTAATCACCTGAACGCCCAAATCCCATTTTTCTGCTGTGCACGCGTTTTGTAGTGTTTGACCCTAACCATACGACTATGTCTGTAGAATTGTTAAGTTTGAGCACGTGCAGTCGTACACGGATATTTGGGTTAGTCGTCAATTTTATGTCAATCTTAAACCCGTAGCCTACGGAATCTGTTTTTAGTCTTTGGAGTGCTTTTATGTGCCTGTGTTTGTAATTTTACTATTCGTTAGTGAATTATTATTCCACAATGTGGGTATTATTAAATGAGATCTGCCGAATACTTCCAAATTTTCGTATTCTTGGTGTTCGCATTTTATAGTTAAGCCCTTCCATAATCGGTCTTGTGCACTACTAATAGAATCTATGTAGTCAGTTGACGCCTCCGATGTTGTCTTACTGTGCTTTTATATCTGACACGACGTCGTCATTCTCCTGTATTTTCCGACGAAACGCGATCTCCCCCAAGATCTTTTAAAACTTCTTACCAACGAACCCACTTTAAGATTAAGCTTCTAGTCTTCGGTCATGCTTTGAAGTCATTTTTGTTGCCACTGTTTAACAAAAAATACCTAAAATAGTTGCAAACTGATAAATCCAACATGGATCACATGACAATCGGGTTTTTTTATATAGAAAATCGGGTTTGACAATGCTGCAATTAAAAGTAATAATTTTTCGGACTTGTATTTGCGGGTCTCCATCTGTAGTGTTCCTCCGACTTTGCCTTTAAAATGATGTCCCAGTTGAGTAATTCATCTATTTCTAAATGAATTATGTTTAAGGCCTCGTTTGCTCACACATTTGTTTGTATAATTTCAGTGATTACACCAAGAAAATATAATTAAAAATGATTGTAAAAACAAGAAATTAATTTACTGATAAGTTTTTCATATTTACAAATCAACTGAGGACCATTAGTCCTATATTTCCTATGATGTCTATGTGTGGTTTGCTTAGTATTAAAACAGTACTGATCATACGCAGTCCTCCTGTGCGCTTGTTCCAATGTTTACTTTGGTCGTCGTTTTCATGCATTTTGCGTATGATTTCTGTGTGTCTGTGGATATGTACCAGCCTTCCAAGTCATGACTGAAACAGCATGTTTGTGGCATCCTGTTTATGTCCAGCCTTTCAGTTGAAAAGTTTAGTAAATTTGAGATGTTGACAAGGTTATCATCGTTCCCATCACATAATCCAGCATAGAACAGGAAGACCCCTGTCCGCAGCCTGTTTAAATCCTGAAGAGTTTGCCTGTATTTTAGCTGTTTAAATCTGTTCGTATTTGTGGACGGCGTGCTGATTCGAAACTTTCTTCGTACTTGCTTATTTGAACACTTCTTTCCTCCAATCGCAATTCGTTTAACTACTGCTTTTGGTTTAATTCATAGGGAGACTTTATTACTCTTTTTAATCGCTACCCAAAACCACGCGCAATTAGCAAACTGTCTTATCATACAGACGAGATAGGTGAACAGTTATGTTTTGTGCTAAAATTCTTCGCTGTGTTATGTAATTATTTGAAAGGGAAGTTAGCTAGGTCGTGTGCGCATTGACTAGTGGGTATTTTGGTAGACTTATTTTGGAAGCATTTTGCGTCACTGTCTGCAGCAATGTTGACTCTTGGTGAAGAATAAATGCGTGGTAAACATTCACGCCAAAGTAAACACTCCCGGGCCGCCCACGTTTGTTGCGTGTGGGGTCCTGTGCATTCCGGCGGCGAACGAAATGGGGACTATCGCAAATCGTTTGGTACTGGGTGTGCCGTTACTGTCTACAAGGATCGTCTACTGTAAAATACGGTTTACATGGGCGCCGTTTACCCAGCTTCGTGGTACTAAGGTCGTTTTGTCAATGCGTGTTTTTTTTGGCTAGTTTTATTTAATGATTTTGCGTTGTACGTTTTCCTCTCTACCTTCGGACTGAACATGCTTATATACTGTTCACTTAGCTGTGTTCATCAATGTCGTCAGCGTTATTTGACGTGGATTCTTCGGAACCGGTGTGTAAAGAAGTTCACACAAGCTTAAGTTCTCATTTTTTTTCACAGGGCCGACTTTTGGTCTTAGGTTCTGTCGTGGTATGCGTTTACCATGTGTCCAATGTACTTTAATGTTAGTTCTCAAATGAGTCATTCCATCTGTGTCTTCAATCAAAATTCCTTGATTAGTTGTCGCAGCTCACGAGTAGTTGTGGTTCAAACTTTAACACACACAGTCTACCAAGCAGGCTCCCGCATGTCGATGCGATTTCTCTTTTACCTCAATTCTATGATTTATATACGGGGGTTAACATTATCTGTGTGGAGCTCCGCTATACCGTGACGGCTTTCCACCACACGGTCTCAAATTTAATAACGGTGCATCCAAATTTGTTGCTATGTAATCTACGGTATGTACTTTTACTCTGGTAGTGTGACTTCGTTATGCATGGATGCATGTTGGTTGTTAAAAGCATCAAGTAGTGGACAGAAATGATCACCAACCCGACTTTCGAAATTCGCGTTTTTCGACTATTCATTCGAGCACATTTAACTCACCTAGAATCATCTCACTAGTTTTTTTACGTAACAATTTGTTGCTTTTTCTCAAACCATCGTAGCATTTTCTTCGGAGCTGGGTTAGGTTTGGTTCAACTTATTTCATTGCCGTGAATTCGACCACAAGGCAATTCATAAATGTTGCCCTTCTGATGGAATTCATCCTTTCAAGTGCCCTTTATTTATGCCAACGTAAAGTGAATGTAGGTTCGAGAGAATGCAGTCCTAGGATGTCTTCATCGTATGCAATTACGAGCGGTGCCACAGTGGTTGCTGGAGGGAGGGAAAGCCAATGAGGCAATGCAGTCGGCCAGATCCCATGCCACGCGTGAGCAGTGTGGTGTCAGTGTTAGGTTAAAACACCTCTTGCCCTTACCGAAAAGGGGTCTGTGTCACATAAGGCGGGCAGTCTGCCCTTGTCAAGAAATACTGAGACATGAACGACTTCTAATTGGCAAATGTAATACCTGATTAAGCTCTGATCACGTTGGTGAGTGTAACGTGGTGTAGCACAGTGATGAACATAGCAAACACCCTCTTGGGCCTACCGATCTCCCCCCCCCTTCCTCAACCAGGTACTAGCATCACAATGACTTTATTGACAAATATTAGGTGCGAGAACGCTGCCAAGCCGCCACAACTGGATGGCTTTAACTCACCATGGAAAATCGTAAGTGTACACGTCAAGCTTCAGTGTTGGCTACTTTAGTTTGTTGTTGCGGTGAATGGGTTAACAGGTAATTGGTTGTTTAGTTTAATCTTACAATAGGGGTCGTTGTTTTTTACGTACGAAGTGTGCTGCACTGCTAATGACCTGTTAAAACGCGATGGCATTGCCGCCGTCATGGACCCTGATTGTGATTTTTACATTTTGCACCCATTGTGTTATCGACGTGTAGTAACTGAGCCAGTTGCTATTGTTGATGTGACGAGTGTTTTATTACGAGTTGGTATAATTTAGACAAAACGGCAGCTCTTTACGAGGCCGATCGCAGCAGCCTGGAGAGGGGAGGAGGTGTCGCTGTCGAGAACCTACCTGCCTGTACCAAATGCCGCCTCCCCATTGCTGATCGATACGTGGTGAGGGTGAGGGGCTCCGTGTTGCACACCGACTGTGCTGTGTGTGCAGTTTGTGTTTGTCCCTTGCGCGACCTCTGCTTCGTCATCGGGGGGCAGCTGCTTTGCCGCCGACACTATCACGAGTGAGTCGACGACGTCTTCATTCAACCCTTTTTTTCTCTTTGGCAAACCTCTTGTGTGTAGGATAGGCCATATGTTGTGTATTGCAGTCACTACTGTTGCGTCCTCTCAGCAAGCAGGGACCTGTTGGGCGTTACGATGAGCTCCATCTGCATGTTTGCTTACCTGTTTTAATGACAATTGTTCTTGGGTTGGATTCTCAGTCGCCACATCACATTTGTGCGCATTTGAACACATTCCCCGACTAATAGTGATCGGTGCCCGATGACCTGCACTGTCTCCTACTGTGGCCTTGGATAAACTTATTTTGGTACTCTACCTACATTCACCACCACCACCACCATCGTAGTATGGATGTAGCTTCCTCTTCTGCAGCCGCTGTTTATTTTGAAGTTCGCGTAGTACAAGCGGTAGTTCGGGCTGTCTAGGAGCATGTCCTTTTAGTGAATAGTCCACAACTTTGGATAGAGAGCAATAATGTGCTTTCGTAGAACTCGAAATTCATGAGTGAGTCGAATTGTTTGCTCTGTTTTGATAAGTCTATGTCCTGGACTAAATATAATAAACAGCAATTTTAAAAATAAAAACAACTTCTAAAAGTTGATTTTTAAATGCATGGAACTCCTTTTTTAAATCATTTCAGTCTCTACGCGATAAGGTGTGCCACCTGTAAACAGCCGATGCTGAGCCACGAGTTGTGTATGCGCCTGAGCGCAGATGAGGTGCACCACGTGTCGTGCTTCGTCTGCTCCGTCTGCCGCAAGCCCCTGGCCTCCGGCGTCGAATACGCCCACGACCCCACCACCGGCGCCCTCTTCTGCAAGGCGGACTTCCTCAACCGCGGCGCGGTTGATGGTGGTGGTGGCGGGGGGGTCGTGCCGACGCATCACCCCCCGCAGTCCCTCACCCCTGCTCCCTCCGCCCCCGCCGCCACTGCTGTTGCTGCCGCTGCCACCACCGCAGGATGCTGCGTCGGCAGCGCCGGCGGCGGCGGTAAGCGTGGAAGGACGACTCTTTCTCAGGACCAGCGAGCCAAGTTGCAGCGGGTGTTTGAGGATAACCCGCGGCCACCGCGAAAGGTAAGGCATAACGACGTGGCCAACACGTTTGCGAAACACCAATATGAATGGGACGCCAATTCCTGTTCGACGTTAAATCGCGGCAGCCAAAATGTGTCCCGTGTCGTGCTAATGGCTATAACAAAGGAATGTGTAAGGCGAAGATCGGGGAGGACAGTACGATGCCCATTCCGCCCACCCACTACTTCTATTTTTGTATGCAGCCCGGGCAATGTGCCGTTGTTAATGTCGTGACATCAGCCATTTTTTATTCCCTCTCGCAAGCGATAAGCAAACAATTTCTTTCACGGTAGAACAACTGTGGCCTTTTGGTGAGGGTCGTCAATTCACACCTACACACTGCAATTATCGCATCGCTCGAGTCACTCCTACTCCCACTCTGGTTCATCACACCTTTAAATCCCTGTCCGCGTTAATGATCTTGGGCCTGGGGGATTGACTCCCCGTCGCCTTTGGTCTCCTTCTTATGCCCCTCTGACAAATTTATGTCTTGTCGTGCCACACCACCCTCTTGTCCAAATAACTGTCCCGATATTCTGGTTTCCTAAAAGCGACCGTTGCGCCTAGCTCGCTAATTCGATGAACCACGAAATCACGTTTTATGCGTGGTCGCGCCGTTCTTTCACGCGAGAGTCCAATACGTCTCCAACTATGGGCAATTTTTGAGTAGCCAAGCTAGCCATTTTGCGTTGCGTCTAGTTTTGTGGTGGATTATCACGTCAGGGTTCGCCGTGTCACGCAATCGTCGGCCTGTGTGCTTTCACGCCCCGCAACCGTCGGGTTGGTTGCGTGTGTTCCGTTGTGGTTTTGCTCACGACTGGTCAAAAAAGGGTCCTCGCCTATGAAAATTAACTTCTCCCCCCCCCCGTGTTGGCTAGTCACGCATGAGGGGTGTCAACGTCGTGGTAAAATCCAGGGTCAGTGTGGGCCCTGGGGCAACAATCTCTTCGTGAAGTCTTGATCATCGAAATTATAATGCACTCTTTACTCCACCGTTAATGCTAGGACCAACTCAAAGAAGCGGAGTAGAATGCGAGTCTAAAACGCAATGCACGAATTTAACATTTGTTGAAGTCTTTTGTCCGGTTGCTTATTAATTCCAAATCTGAGTTACCCACGAAAACTAAAGAACGCGCAGATTTTGACTCGTTTTGACGTCATTACCTGCTTGTTTCCGTTCGCTTCTCTACCGCATACTATATTGTAGCAACATTGGTAAATGCTGTATCCTATAATTACGCCAGTGGGAAAACTTAGCTTCTGTTGTTCTCCGTGTGGCAGCAGATCTCTCGTACTTGATGTCTAGTTGTTCGTGCACCTAGTTACTTAGTGCGCTGGTTGTTGAGACGTCAACCATCATCGATTAGCTTGTCTCACCCCCCCTCCACCTCTCCGCCGGCAGGTTCGCGAGACCCTCGCCCGGGAATTCGGTCTGCCGGTTAGAGTGGTGCAAGTCTGGTTTCAGAATCAGCGGGCCCGCGAAAAGAAACTCGCCTCGTGTCACCTCAGAGACGCCACTTCCTCCCAAGCCCACCACCCCTCGCCCGCTGGCTACGTCGGCCCCGTCGATGAGACCCCGTCGTCGGCAGGTGCGCACCTCGCTGTACCCACTTTGGTTTGTTTGTTTGTTTTTGCCTTGAAAGCACCCTGCGCACGCCTTCTCACTCTGCGCGTGGGCCAGTGGATTCCGTTAGTGCTGTTTCGACTTGTCGCGGTTCAACGGCGCCCACTTCGTGGCGTCTGGTTCGATGAGTTGTGCGTTCGGGTGTGAATGCCCCGGTCACCTTTTGCTGCACCTCCAACTTGCTCGTTTGGTGAATTGCAGCCCTTGCGAAAATGTGGCTTTATGGGTTTATGTAGCGTTTACGTCTTGTTTGCTGTACCCTGATTGATTTGCATGTTGGCTGTTGGGGGGGTGTAACATGTGTCTCTCTGAACCTTTTAGCCAAGTCGCCGCAGTATCGACCAAGCATTAAGAAAAGTCAATTCTTCCAGTGGAATGACTCAGCCAGCCACCAACAGTGGTAAAAGCTCCTACACCATAGAAAAGTAACTATTTTAAATTTGCATTTACCCCGCTCTGTACAGCTGTCCCCACCGCCATATCTTTTGTATACCCGTGTCATTTTAGTAAGGCCGTAAACTACAAGCAAATTCTACTTGCATATTTATAGTAGTATTATATTTGTTCCTAGCGAACCCTCAAATGTACATAGCTCTATATCCCAGTGTCTACCGAACGAAATGCATGGTTTATTGAGCAAAAGTTGGATTTTTTCTTCTGGGGTAGTCCGCTTAAAAGAGTGATAATACTAAAGATGGCGTCGTGTTTCTTAGCAACATTCTGGGGCTGTTACACCTTGGCTCTCGACCGGGCCATCTCCAGGTTGCTTTCGTTTGTAGAAATGGAATTCAGCGGTCAGGTGTCATTGCACGCCTCATTTCAAAAATCACAGACCACTAAAGAAGCACACCGTTTGAGTGCCAACTGCACAGGTCCATGAATTTTAGCATAGGGGGATTGTTGAATGCAAAAGTTCAAGTAGTGTCATATTGCAACTGCGTTCACACGAAATGTTGGTCCTCACGCTGTGGACTCCGCCACCGTGTGCAATCAAGAAACACGCAGCAATAATGTGCCCATTGGCTGGCATCACTCTTAGTCGACGGTCCCCCTCCCCCACCCACCCACCCACCCACTACTAACACCCAAACAAATTACTTTGGGGCATCCTGCGGCGACCACAGCCACTTGCTGCTGAGTCCAGCCCCCACCCTGTTCGTCGCCGTGGCTCCAGTCATCCAGTAACAGCATCCAACCTGTCACCCACTCGCGGCGGGTTTAAGCTTAAAAAACGACATATTTTTGGCCTCTAGTTCTTCCTTGGAATTTTTGCAAACGCCAGGAGGCTGTGTTGGCGTAAACTTGACTCCAGATGTCTAGCTGTTTGCGTTGTTTCAACTTTGAATTTACCTCAGCACCAAAAAGCAGTGCCATAGCACTAGGCGGGTTTGTTCATATTAGTAAAAACTAAGTTGGTTTTACACCAGGGGTAACTAAAAGAAGCACCAAATTAATTATTTCGCCAACCCAACTCACAACCCCCGTTAAATTCCACTCAACCAATGTGTTTGGTCATGCTTCGTTTGCTGCCTGCATTCACCAATTTCAGGGCGTTTGGTATGATCTCTGCCAGCTTAGCTGTTTTGTCTCACCAAGAATTTAGTTAAGCAAAACAGTTGTCCATATGCACTTCTTAAATATCACTCTGTGAACCGTTAGGGGATTCAGTCTTTAGCCAGTTGCTGAAGTGTCATCAACGCGTTCATGCTTTTAATTGGTGCGACGAGTGTGCACTTGAGTCAAGCTTTAAGGCAACAAATATGCTTCAATCGCTAGGCTGAAATAGACAATTTTCTAACAACCCATGGCTCACACCTGTCCGTAAAAGAATGGTGAAGTGGCGCAGGATGCAAAGTCAACGCTTTTTGCCTCGGATGAGCCCGCTTCCTCAAAATCCTAGCCCTCTGCGTGTGCTGTTCCCCGTGCATGTCTGGTGTCTCAGTTCGTTCGACTCCTGGACCTACTAAATCCGTCGGGCTTCTGCTCCAGGCGGATTCCACCCTAAGCCTTTCCCGAGGTTTCTACACGAAGTAACAGATGTGCCAGTTACTAATCAGGGCCACGTCAGCTCAAGGCCATGGTGCTGGTGTTCGTCTTTTAGTCCCCGAATTGAAAAAAAAAATTGTTCTTGCGCGCAAGAAAAACACGACGCCACTGTTGCGACCCGGTGGCAATTGACTCTCAACAATCGCCGGAGCCCTTAGTTACAAATTCCGCAACCCCTACGAGACCCCGTATAAACAAAGAAGACGAAGAAGAAGAAACATGACCCGTCTCAGGAGACGCAGGTCTCCCATTGAGCAGCTTCGAATTTCACACTGCGCATGCGTTAACGCAAGAGCCAATCAACTCCGCCCTCCTGTTGCTATAACAACCAATCAACGAATTGTGCGTTCACAGGCATTCACACCGCGCAAATTAGAACGTTTTAGCTTCATGGGATACATGAGGTCGGCAAAATCTACGGAAGTAACTTAGGCACATCGATTTTGTGTTTAACTTGGGTTGATAAATTTATTGTGTCTTACGGTGGAAGCTAAGCCAAATTTTATTTGGACCGCGCAATCCAACATGCTAATTTAAACACACTGTCTATTGATTAGGCGTATCAGTAATTGTGCGTATAGCTAAATCAGTCTATGTAAAACAATGCCTTCTCCCGGAATAACGTAATTTTTGGACGTCATTTGGCGTGAACACTTTCGGCATCAACTTCACCCCTATCGGAAGGCATCAGTAAATACACATTGTGATTTATAGCCCCATGAGTTATTTATTTTTCGCAATGAGTCTAAATAACTAAAGGTGTCGACGTAACAAGAAGCTTAGAAGCCTGCCACTTCAATGTTGAGTTTAATTTTCGATCTCATTGGCTAGCGGATTTCACCACCGCGTTGTCGAGGCAGCTAGAGCGCAGCAACAAGGGTATCAACTGTACGTTTTACCATTGGGTCAACAGAAAAATGTATTTATCGAAAGGCTTGACTGATAATTCTTAGTCAGAGTGGTCTTATGCCAGCGCTACTTCAATGCTCGTTTAGTTCGAATGGGAACTGGGCCAGTCTACATTATCTACATACTGCTTAAAGTACTCCCATCTAAGTCAATTCCGCCTAAAAATCGCCTCCTCGATGTCAGCATCACTTCATAACGAAAAAGGGCAAGTTTTGACTTAGAAGACATGAAGAATGACACTAGAAGTCATTCTACGCTGTCCCCATTAGGCGACACTGCTCTTTAATTGGATGAAACGCAGCGTCATGTTCCAAGTGGCCCCCTCGTGTCATCCCCCCCTCCCCTCGTCCTCATAACCACCGCCGCCCCCACTGCCTGGGCAGTGTCGGTTGGCGGTGCTTCATGGAATCGCGTTGCTGACTGTGAAGAGACCGCCCTTCGCAAACATGGCAGCAGGTTTAGGCTGCGCCTCTTCAGCCGTCGTAGTAGACAGCGAAGATTGCAAGACAAACATAATCACCCACACACACACGTCCCAAAAACGAGGAGTGAATTGGCCGGCGTCGGATATCTGGTGGTGGCTCAGATTACGTCTGCATCTCGCCCCACACCCCCGCACTGAGCACGAATTCACCGCGTCGCGGCTGCGGCGCGGTTGCAAACGATGCAGGAGGACACTGAGCCGTCGTCGCGCGGCCCGTGTGACACCTGACCGGCCGGTGCGTCGCCACCGCCGGCCGCCTGTGCTGCGCGCGGCAGACACAGACAGAGGGAGCAAACCGAGGGAGAGCAGGACTTGGAGAGGTGTAGGACAAGGTAGAACAGGAAGTGCATGCATTAGCTGAAAGTAGAAGGAATAAAGTGTCTGGTCAGAGCGAAATTTGTATTCCACAAAACACTCCAGAATAGAGTGAATAATAGAGGAGATGGGTGATAGCGCAACGAGGAAGGAAGGAAGGGGGGCGAGACTCCAGTTCGCGGGGAATGAATGACACAGATGAGGAAAAAAGTGTTTGCAAATATGCGCAGCCAGTTATTCTCGGGTGTGGACCAGTGGCACCACGGCCTGTGACGGCAGCCAGCGACATGATGAGGTAATATCGTTTCTCGCTCTCTCATTCTCCTGAGTCCGCAATCTGGAACATGAGTGGTCTAGCGAGGGGACGAGAGAAATCGTAAACTCGCGCAACAGGTGTCAGATTTCACGCAAGCCCCACTTCGTGAGCTGTTCAGTGGATGTGTGACGTGCTGCAACAGATTATCCGATTCGCCAGTACTTAGGCACCCGCAGCCTCACCGATGTGTCGCCAGCGCCCTGCCAGAACAAATACCACCAGTTGTCATAGCGACTAGGTGTGAATGTTTTGACTTTGTCTAGTGTAGTAGGAAAGTGGGTTAGGCTCAGAGCACCAAGGCCAGATGGTTCGAAGTTACCAGTTTCTCACTAACACCGACAACTTCAAAGCACCAAAGCCAAAGCAAACCTGCCTCTACATGAGCAGAAACCTTATTTTAGGATCTCCAATTGGCAGCGTGTGCGTCACCCAGAGCACTCTACACGTTTGGAGAATCAGTAGCGTGTTCAAACTTTTCCAACGCAGTACAGCACAGCCGTCCAGTGTAACGATGCGGCCAAAGTGCCTGTGTTCGAGTCCCTGTCCCGATGAGTTCTTGTCAATATCCAGCTTTGTGTTGACACCAGTGAGTGGTGTCTTTACGCTTTTTTGGCAGCTGTGACGTAAATATTTCTTACCAGGAATGAGCAAACGCAAATTTAATCAATTACTTCGAATTTAATGCAAGCATCACGTAGCCTCATTTGTCCAGGAACTTCAAGGTTACGCGTACCGATGAAATCTGGCGTCTCGACAAACACAGGGGCAACGTGTTTACTGCAGCAAAAAAGTAGGCTGGTCCCCCTCGTTGGCTACGGTCTCCTTTTCATGATTGGGTCATGTCAACGTAGGTCACCGCGCCCAGTGCACTTAAAAACCACACCGGGGCTTCTAAATACACTCAAACGTGGTGCGTGGATGTGTGTCTGCGGACACCGTCAAGAAAACATCCACAGTAAAACTGTTGATTCGTCTGTTGCAAGACACCACCTTACGCTGGCAGTCCTAAATTCAGATTATTGGCATAGTTAAGGACGATATTTGACCGAGCAGGTCAGTCTTCTGCTAGTACCACCGAGAAAATTCCTTCACAAGGCACCAAATCAAATTTCAAAACCTCGTCCATGACGTAGGGACATAGGGCTATTAGTTGATGGCTCTAACTACTAGTTGATAAAAGCGTTTTTGATTGCCAAAAAAATGAGAACTCACGCGTTTGAACCCCAGTCTAATGATCTCGTTGCTTTTCGAAGGCATCTTGCGCATTCTAAGTACTATAGTTCATTGTCTGCGATAAATTCGAGTATCAGAATAAATATAGCAGACTTTCTTATTCATCCACCTCTTAAATGCAAGATGTCACTGGGTTGTTACAGTCCTAACTCATTGGTAGTGGATAATTATCGAGTGATCTTGACGGTACGGTGCTGGACGGTTCGATCTACTCCAGAAAACTGCCAACAATCCTGTCCACTGAAGGCTATCCCAGGTTGATAAAAGACGTTTCCAGAATTTTCATTCGCGGCTGCATTCAAACCAATTTATTCGGCTCTACTTAAGAAACAGGTTGGTTAGCAGATTCCTACGGGGCTGCCACCCAAACGATGGACAGCTGCCCCCCTATGTACAAACAGCTTTATATGAGTTTTTCCAAGCGCAATAATCGGACACAAGGCAAGCCTGATGCAAATTAGAAGCATCTTCGCCAACACAGAGGCTCTACAATACCGATAAATTAGTGGTCTAAAGTTATATTGCACGCATTTTTCCAGCCGGTTTATGAAAATTATAAAAAAAAACATAATGGTTGCTGCACTAGAATCGACGTTGCCCATTTAGAATTGCGCTCGCCGATTTTCATTGGCCGGCACACGCGTTTGAGCGAAACTTGGCGACCAATGCATAGTTCGCGCGAGAGTGCACGTGCGCACGGCCTCATGTAAACGACGCTGAGGTATCACATTTTACTCGAATATAGGGCGCGTGTACATATTGCAGAAAGAGGGAGTGAAATTAGAGATCAATCCGGGTAACCCGAGCACGACAGCCATGTTTGCTGCAGCAGCAGGGGGATCAGATTCCACCTCTAACACCAACACAGCCACCACCGCTGCCGGAAGCCAATACTTGACGCCGCCGATATCTGGGACAAGCATCTCGAGTTCGTATCACCCCCAGTACGGCTACGCATCCAACAGTTGTTGGTTTGACGCTCCAGCAGCCTACGACCAGAACTCTTCGACGATAATTGCCTACACCGATGAGCAGATCAACTGTATTTGCGACGTCCTCCAACAATCAGGAGATTACGCACGGCTCAAACAATTTATCGATTCTATCGGAGATTTGGGTGCGACCAATGAGAGTGTCCTCTGCGCGAAAGCAACCCTAGCCTTCAGTGAGGGCAGATTCGTGGACTTGTACGCGATTCTCGAGGGCCACACATTCTCGCCAGCTTGGCACCAACGCCTCCAGAACCTGTGGCTGCAGGCTCACTACACGGAGGAGGAGCGAGTCAAGGGGAGACCTCTTGGTGCGGTGGCCAAGTACAGGGTGCGCCGCAAGTTCCCTCTGCCACGGACCATCTGGGACGGGGAGGAAACAAGTTATTGCTTTAAGGAGAAGTCGAGAGCCATCCTAAGGGACTGGTACACCCACAGGAACGCCTACCCCTCACCGCGAGAGAAACGCGAGCTCTCAGAACTCACCGGCCTGACCACCACGCAGGTCTCCAACTGGTTCAAAAATCGACGACAACGAGACCGGGCCTCGGAGACACAAACTAGTGGAAACACTTTTAGGTAAGTCAAGAAAAGAATATCAGGCTCACCAACTACTGGTGAGTTGAAATCGACCTTTAATTCTAAGTTACTAAAACTCATTAATGAATTACTTTTATTCTCTATGGCCATTTAAAGCATTGCCTTGCACATTCATGGCGAGGTGAATGCTGTCACTATCCTATTAGATTGTTCCCTTTGCATACCACCTGGATACCTTCAAGGTTCTGAAAAGAGCCCTGTGTAACCAGCCACGAGCCTGGTTGCAGCCAAGAATACCACGGCATCAAAGTTAGGCATTCGTCTCTCGATCCAAAATGAATAAGGCAACAAAAACAGAATTTTTGGAAGTTTTCGTTAGCGATCTTGGGCTTTTTTGTTTAACCCGACACAAGATGCCAGCTCAAAAGTAAAAACTCCTTTAAGCATAGACAAGTGCAAGACGATGGGATACGAATAGAGAGGTGCCGGCTAAAGACACACTTTCACACTACCTCAATTACTAACGAAATGTTTTTCAGTAAAACTGCCAAACCTAAGTTTCCCAAAAAGGAGTTTTGAAATATAGATGCTTAGTCCGATTTTTGCCTACTGGAAGCCCGCCGGCCATTCCATCAGGAGAGGAGCGAGAAAATGATGACGAAGAAGGGAGCCTCTCGTCAATGAAGGACGTGCCGGTGGTGCCACAAGATACGTCCCAGCTCTACTACCGACCGTCTTCGCCTCTACAGCCAACAAGCAGTGCCAGCCAATGCGCGCCAACCTGGCAACCATCGAAGCTGCTGGCGTCGGGTTACTGGTCGCCTACCGCGCCGCCGCCGCCAGTCGTTGACATGTTCTTCCGGCCAGCTTTTCGACAGCCGCAACCGCCGCCACCACCACCACCATCGCAACCGCCCTTCCCACCGACACCTTCCGCGTGGTCTTACGAAGAGACCTGTCAGTATAATCCGCCCTACCAACCTGATCTGTACGCGGACCCAAACCTCTACGTGCAGCCAGCAGCAGGAGGAGGAGGGACAAACTGGGAACAGGCATGCGACACGAGGACGGAAGACGTGGTGGTTTCGGGGCGGTTTCAACTCCAACTAGAGGTCCAGGCTCGAATCCGGAGGGGGGAGACAGGAGGCGGGTTTTTCGTTCCCCATAAGGAGGGAACGGGCTACCACCCGAACGGACCCTCCTACGGAGCTTCCTACGGTAGAATGGCTCATCAACAACAACCCAACACCATTTCCCCCTCCCCATCTTCATATATCGATTCGCAGTACCGACAGGAGGAAGGGCAGTACGTAGGCAACTGAGATGATTGAAGCACCCAAACTGGGATATTTTTGTGAATACCTTAAAAATACTGACTAGTTTTGGTAGTGTATGTGAGGCAAAAGTTTATACCAATGTTGCACTTGAGTACTCCTTATTTAAAAATGCAATGAAAACAACTTGAATGGACTCATTAAAATCAGCGTTTAAACTGAACCCAACTTATGAGCAGGAGGCTAAAAACAAGAACTACTTGAAATGCAACACAAGTGGTCAATTTTTAGAAAACTGGACATATTTTAAAAGGTCTATCCTAGTTATGCGTTTTGTTTTCGAACCTGAGCAAACGACCGATTTGGACAACCAACTACTTCAATATACAGTTTCTACTTGCCTTTTTAGGTGCTTAGATAGGTTAAGCACATATTTGAATCATATTAAGGTTTCACTTAGGCCCTATTTTCGATTATGACAGAAATTAACAATGCCATATATAGACAACGGGAATACATGATGCCAGATTATTGGCTGTGAGCATTTCAGCAGCCGAGTTAACGAGAAAGTGTGGTGTGCTTATTGACTGGGCACTAAAAATAGGGACCCACACATGTAAAAATAGCCTAAAAAGCCGATTCACCGGCTTGAGTCTGCATTGACATAGACAATATTGGATAGCTTAGACTAAGAGCATTAAGAGAAAAGCTTAAATGTAGCGAAATATGACAGGAGACACAGCAGCGTATGGAAACTCGGATATGAGAACCAAGAATGCTTGTCGACAAGGATGCTTGAGGATGAGACACACAAACAGAAACCACAGTTATGCGAATAATTTAAAGCTTGAAGGAGACTCAAATACACGCATCGACACATCGAATACACTGAAACTTTCAATTTGCAGTAACTGGGTCCGAATCGTTACAAAAATGGCATAGTTCGTCTGAAAACAACCCAACCCGGAGATGTGAAATAATTCAGAAGACAAAAGAGGAACGTGGTAAATCACCAAGATTTTATACAGTAAAGCTATACATTTAAAAACTATGTGGGCGATCAGTACAAACGTGGGACGAAAAATGTACAAACCATAAAGTAGTTGATTTTGGGACAGTTTACTTCTCGTTTTCTAGGTAGTCTTTTGCTTCATTAATTTTCGCCGCTAAATAAGGCGATCCACCTGAAACAAAAACAGAACGAAAACTGTTTAGATTTAATAAACTGAGATGCGTACTTTGACGGCCAAATGTAGACAACGCACAACTAGATTAGCAGTTAATGAGGTAATACTAATAGTACGCCGCTTTCATTAACGAATATAGTGAAAATGAAGTAAATAAACTATGGATCACTTATAAAACTTGGTTTCTCTCTGATAGTCACTGTAGAAGTCATCTGAGAAGGCTAATTTCATAACCTACCACTTTAAGAGTGTATGACCAAACGGATTCCCTTAAAGCGATTCCAAATAAACATAGGTTATAAATTACAAGACCAAAGCGATGCATCAAAACGTATGTAAGCGAATTACCAAATACAATGAAAACGAAACAAAATTAGCGAAGGCCTACCTCGATCAGGATGATTGAGGAGCATTATACGTTTGTGAGCCTCTCGAATCTTCAACTTGTTAGAGGACTGACTAAATTTAATTTAAAGACATACTTCTCACCATGAATGAAATGGAACAATAATCATCGGAAACAAAATCACATACGGAACACCGAGAATTAAAGCAGCTTCTCTGCGTGTCATCTTGGGCTCAAACCCACCACGGTAGTACTTTGACGTACTCTAAAATAATGCAACATATAAAAACTTTTCTAAAGGATTGAAACTAGTCAATACACAACACTCACAATCCCGGCCAACTTAACAAAATCCTGGACATTCTTTCCTTTCATCTGTTTTGCTATTTGGCGACCTTGAAGCATACAAATTCAGAAGCATTAAAATACCTATAAGGCCTACTGCAGCCAATCCAAGTCCAAGAATAACAGGGGTACTCTAAAAGAAATAATACGCCACAAACATTACCATTTCCGTTCGGGTTAAATGCAGCGAAAACACGACGGATACGTTAAACGACGTAGACCCACACCATCATTGGTACAATTTTGTGACTATTCCTGTGTAATCATTAAATGTTATAAGATAACTTTTAGCTTCTTAAAGACTGCGAAAAATTAGAGTGGTATTGTTAGCGGAATATAATAATTCAAATCATAGCTGAAAAATATCGCCTTTGGATGAACTAGTGTAATCACTTCCGAAGCCTTCTTCCAACTATATTAGTTTAATTATCAAATCGAAGAAAGTGAAATCCCTGCAATCTATAGTTTATCTACCATTTTATCGAACTAAATAGGTAAAATTGTTGAGTTAGGATCAGAAGATATTTGCGTCCGTTGAACACCCCGGTAACTGGTCCCAAATCGCACAGAGTCCGCTGCATTGAGTTTTCCAAGTATGCAACAACTGTATTTGAGATATTTTAAGACCCCATTAATAAGTTGGAAGTGAAACTGCGCAATAAATTGCCCAACCTACCTGCAGTGTCACCGTAGTCACAACGTACAATGTCATGCGATTACTAAAGTCAATGACCCATACAGTTCAAGATTACTAGCTAAATAAGTAGCGAAGGAGGCATAAAAAGATAGCTAAATGAGCAGACTTTTCAGCATGTTTGAAATGAGGGCTTTTTGTGTCAGTGAATACGTTGATACATTTGATGGACATCACGCCGAGGTCCTCACAAATATTTTCAAACGAACCTTAATAAAGTGCTGGTAAAATTGGCACATCCATCTATTTATGAACCTAAATTTCCTCACTGTTAAACTTTAACTTCAGATTCATTTAGAACTATGCGCATGATCCAAATTTTCTGCAAGGGAAAATTTTTAGATCCTTGAAATTATCTTCGACTTCTGCAAGCTACTAACGTTAAAAAAATCCCTGGGCATTAAGGTTGAATGAAAGCCTGTTTTGGAGAGTAAATAAGAATACGATTATAGCTTTTGTATATTAACAAGATGACCATAACTTCATATATTCTGCCACACTTATTAGGGTTAAGCTAATTTGCACTTGTATTGAGAAACTCCTATTATTACTCACCATACATTGCATCGTAGCTTTAAGTTAATTTTAAAGTAAAAATTATACCCATAACATTATTTTCCAGCATTAATTTGGTAGCACGTAATTTAACCAATACCATGTAAAAGTAAATTTATAGCCCAAGGTCTTTATCACGCTTCACTTAAATAAATTTCGTTTTAACTCATTCGCATTTCGTGCGGGCACTGTATACATTTCTGGCTTTAACGTCAAAATGAGTTTGTGGAAGAGGCTGCAAAGAATTGGCATGAAAGCAGCCAAGTTTCAGTTTACTGTATCATTGGAAAAATTGCACATTAAATTCGATAAGGATTATCAGCCAAAGGCTGTCATCATTGTGTTTACTCGACGAGGTAGACGCTGTTCATCCCAGGTATGTACTAATTTTGCTCCAGGTTCATTTTATTGCCTTTACGAAGTCATAAATCTTTTGTTCACTATCATCAAATAATAAGTTTGATGTGATTTATTCGCCGTTAAAGCTGGCTTTTTCATTTTTTCAGGTTTTTAATATTTGCAATAAAGCTAAATTGCCCTTATAAACGAAATTATGGCATTTACGTAAATGTTGATGCTCTAGACAGCGAATTTTTGTAGTGAGAACTTATCCAATTTTTGGTAGAGTGTGTTGATAAAATGACATGATTTCTTCAAAATAACTAAATGGAGATTAATCTTCTTTAAAAAGTTATTTAAGTGTTCATTTTTGTTAATTTCCAATTGCTTCTTTTTAAGTTATTTTGCCTTTATGTCTTAACTTTGCTGTCAAGCCTTTTTTGGTTTCAGCCAGTAACTCTTCAGAAGTCTCCAACTGATAAATCAACCCTCATAAATGAGTGGGCCTTACCCGAAAATTTGGAGGTTCTGACTACACTTTATAGAAACGAGAAGGACATTTCATTCGAGGACAAGGAGTGGACGTTTCAGGTTGAGGACGTAAGTAGTAAAAGCTTTTAAGTATTTTCTAGATGAATTTCCATTTGTTATCTAGCTGATGTGTACGTTATTCATTGTTATTTACCTTCTATCTGAATTAACTCAAAATGTTTCATTTTTTCGATCAGTTCAAAATAATCCAAGATAGAATATACGAATGGTTGTAAACTAGTTCGCTTTAATTTTGTCTAGTTAGTATTTTTCTTTGGTCGATGAATTTGTTAATTTAAGGTTTGTATGTCATCGAGTGAATTCAAGGAGGCGTCAATCTCCGCAACAACCCGGCGTCGCGTTTTGGCCACTCGCAGTCTCAACCTTGCTGAATTTGCATCTACCCTTCCTACACAAAATAACCTCAAAATCAACCTCCGAGCAGCTTCAAAGAAAGTCTCCACAGCAACTCTCTTTTTTACTCTGCACGGCTTAATGCTACGCTGCGGCGAAGCGACGTAAGTCCTCGTGACTTAGATACCACGCAATTGTTATTTGTGTTCGATTTATTAATCCTAGGTTTTGTTGCGGGATAAAATTATGCTTATCCATTTCGCTAAAAATACTTATAGATTTGATTTTCCAAAAGAATGGTCTATTAATGAGGCCCTCATTCTATTCTATCTACCCATCTGCCCCATTTAGCGGCATCTCTTGTAGCCGTTTTTTTGTCTAGCAAAGACTGCTGATCGAATACTTATTGACTGGTGCCTATTAACACCTACTGCCATGGTGGTCAACGTTGATGTAGGTTAATAGCCGAAGTCGTGCTATAGCACAAAGTACTTAATGTATTCCTTGGGCTGTTTCCTAACTCGAGTATATGTAAATATTCTGAAGTAGGGGACTTTAGAGCAAGAGGCTCACTAAATACCATGGATTTAACACATAAGTTCAATAGAGGTGTCTTAAACCTAATTGTTTATTGCGTATTTTGGAAAGAATTAAAAAATCCTTTTTACAATACTTTGGGTGTGCATCAGGTAAACGTAAGCATACCAATTAGTGACTGCCTGTCGTGCTTTGTGGTAGTCAACTGTTTATTCCCTGTTAGATTTGATCTTTGTTAGGTTAGTTAGTGTTTGTGTTTTTTTCTTATTTGGCACCTGGATCAAGTTGTCTAGCATCATGCAACGTCAATCGTTTTACAATTAGGTCTTATTCATATTTTCATGGACAACAAGTGTTTCTTTTTTGCGGAGTTAATTACGTGTGACTAGCAAATCACATCAATCGGGATATGTATTCCTCCATGGCTGTTCCTTATTCACATGCCATTGAATGAGTTCCACAATCAGTGTTGGCCTGTCTGCTTATCTTTGCAAGAGCCATCGCAAGACGATTGTGATTCACGATAATCCAAGCGCCAGCTTCTACAGCCATTTTGGGGTGTTAGGTCCGTTTCAGTTGGAATCGGCTCATGTGGATGGCCTAAGCGCCATGTCACGTGGTTTGCTTCGCATTTCAATATCACAATTAGGCCGATTACCAAAGTATTCCGACGTATTTCAGCACATGCACACAACAACCAAAGTTGCCAACTCTTTGTCGTTTGTCAGAATGTTCATAATGTCATGTTCACTCCCTTGTAATTAGCGACGAGGACATGATTTCAGTTGCCTCTTCCATGTCCCTGACGTATGCACCACCGTCAGCATACGGAGCCAGATGGGGAAGCGAATCACCAACTCCCCCCTTTGCCCCTGTCGAGCAGGCTGGAGGGAATCCCAATTTGCGTAATGACTTTGCGAACATTTCGAGTCAACTGCAAGCCTTGGAACGATGTCCCGACCTTCGTGAGGTCGATGAAGAGGAGGAAGACGCGGAAGCTGACACAAACGGTTAGTATCAAAATTGACTCGAGTTCCACGCTAATGGCAAACATTGGGTCTAAGTAGCTGCTCTGTAGGGTGCTGTGGCGCGATTGATTTCGCCAACATGGCTTTGAACCCTTAATTGACTCTCAAATTTAAAATAAATTCAGATTTAGCAGAAAACTTTACATCCGATTGAGATGAGCGTTACAAAAATCACTATTTAAGCATCCGGAGGTTAATAGTGCCTTTCCAAATGGTTTCATTTACTAATTTCTCCTACCACATACCCTCAGTAGTCGCCTTTTCGTATTCGGTCATCGTTCTGGATTAACTCGGAGCAATCTTTTGTTGGTTCTCGCTTGGAGTGAAGTTTTTGCCGCTTGTTCTCCTGGGCAGGACATTCCGGGTATTCGGGTGTTGAGTAACTGACCAATGAAGGCACGCTTCGTGCTTTGATGCCGAAATTGGGTTGAAATTAGTGCAAGTGGACAAGGCCGTCTGTTGTTTTAAGTTGTTTACCTTACAAATGCCTAGTTGTAGTGATCCCCCGTTGCCATTCGTTAATGTGATCAGGGATCAGTAGGGCAGTGTCAATTTCGCGCAGTGATTCTTGTGGTATGGCCTTGTTCTGTCGTGAGACAGTGCATTAAACCCACCAACTGCAGCACAGGGTCCAGTGACAATCACTGCTTTTGCCTGACTACACGGGGAAACGTTGGTATTGCAGCCTTTATCCTCTCTTTTAGGGGCGAAAAGTCCTCAGATTGAAATGCGTGGCATGAAAAGTTCTTCTGGCGACACAAGGTATTCCATGAACCCTACTTACCGATTTTGTATGACTTTTTATTACAATTTACCTCTCTATGTTCGATAATGACTTGTTTGCATAGTTGTTTATTGAATGATTGTTAAGGTCTAAGTGCAAAAATGCTGCTACAGCTCTTAGTCGGTTCAAATTTCGTGTATGAATCGCATTGGCCGTCATCATCATCGGAGGTCTATGTAGCCTCGGGGCAAATGCAAAGGCTTATTGATATCCCTCTCAGTTAGTTCTTGGGGTGGTCTCGGCATGCTGTTCCGCCCTTTTGTGCAGTTTTTGTACCGACCTTTGGTCAAAATAAATGCTGACCAGAACTGGTTCTCCTGGGAGAGTCAAGCAGCGTCACTCTCTCGGCTGTTTCGCCGCACAATTCCACTACCACACCAACAGCAAAGTGCAGAAGCACACCCTCACAGGTCAGGTAAACAGCTGTGCAGCCCTCCGCTCTCCTGTCGTGTGAATGAGGCTTTACAGGCCATGGAGAGCACTGTCTTTGCTTTGGCTGTGGTTAGGCCAATTCCTCAACACGTTGCTGTGTCGTGTTGTGTTAATGTCGGAGGGGTCCGAGTTAGAGGAGACATGTGTTAATTCATTCGCTAGTTAAATCTTACTTGTGACGTTGCACAGGCAAAGAGCTATGTGCATAATGTTTGAACACGAATGTTAACGAATGATAGTGAAGGCCTGTGCTGTAGGCTTACACTTAAAAGATTAAGCTCCAGTCTAGTCAAATCGTGAACAACTATCGGTTTTTTCAGCAGTCAGGTTGCCATGGCGATCACTAAATGAATGTCGTTTGGGTGCGTCTAACGCGAGGACGGCGGTAGCCAACAATTTAAAGTGCCTTGCACTAGGCCATCCCTTCAAGACCACCTCACTTCAGTTGGCCTATATGTCCTGGGTCACGAATTCGAGTAGTCTCGTTGAAATCTCACGTGCCAGCACCTCCTACTGTGTTTCAAGTTATGAACCAATAATCGAACAACGCCTAACTCGAGTTCCCCCCCCCCCCACTTACTCAAAAACGTGCAGTCGAAAGTGGCTGTCAGGCGACCGCGCGAAGGAGAGGTTCATGTAGTCGCTGCCACCCCTCTGGTCGGGTCCTTTGGTCTGAGGATTCGCACTGCCCCCTACGCTTGATCTCAGGCGGTGTGCAGACGTACGTTCCGCGTCAACATTCCCATCCGCGGTGCTTGATCGCAATTAATTCGTGTCAGTTCCCCTTTGTTAATGCCCTGCGCACGACAACGGATGTGTTTGTGCCAGTGCGAATTCAGGCCACACAAAGGCTAATGGCACACGGCCCAAAGTGCGCCTGCTAGTATTTCGACTACTATTTATGCGTCTAGTAGCAGGTGAACACGATTCTGGCTTTGTGGGCGCTAACGTCAGGCTGTGGACCTTCCAGCCAACAACTCAGAGGGGATGTGCCATTCTGCAAGTACTTTCGCTCATAACTGAAGTTACAACTAGTCGATAATGTTTCCCTTTCTCTCATACCACTGGACGCCAGTTGCTAGTTATGGTGGGGGGTTGCGCTTCTCATGAAGCCGACTTCTAGGTGTGTTATTTGGTATATCAGCAGGAAGTCTAGTCCGCCGCAACCACTGTTCCGTAAACACAGAAACATGTAACTATGGGCACTTTGTAGTAATTTTGTTTTCTTCTGTCATTGTCGACATCAGTTTGTGCATTGGCGAGGCCCATAGCAGGAAGCATTTATGCTCAATCAGCCCTATGCAGTTTGGGTCTGGGAAGTCGGTTTGGCCAGATTTTCTAGCACTGCTCTCTGCTTGTAGTCTGAATGTCTTCACGTGCTCCAAAAGCGCTGGAAGACGCGTAAATACCGACGCAAATACCTGTGTTTGTGCACTGACAAACTTCTTTAGTTGCCGCAGGCTTTGTTTCACCGATGGAGTTGACTTAAGTTGACAGTCGGGATTATCATGGCGGGTGGCGTTGTCGTGGCTTGTCCGTTGTCTCATTTTCCCACTGCCTTTACAGCCAGCCCGAACCAGCCAGTCAACTCGTTGATGGTGGAGGCCAGGCCAAGGTCACCTCTCAGACTGGCCAGGATTTGCTCACGTGGTGCCAAGAGGTGACCGCCTCCTACCCCGGTGTCAAGGTCAAGGACCTGACCCTCTGCTTCCGATCCGGTCTCGCTCTCTGCGCAATCATCCACCACTTCCAACCAGAGGCCATGTATGTCAGCTAACCTCGTTTTTCTTCAGCAAACCTTTCATCACTCAAAGCAGGACCACAACGTAGAGTCTTATCACTAGGTTCACACCATACGTGCACTTCCTTCGCCGCTGTTTTGAATCGGTTTGGGCCACATTGCTTAAGCAGAACGCACAAGAGTTTCTGGAGCGCCCCTGTGAATGACCTAGATAGGTCAGGTCAAGCTAAAAAAGTTGGGTTTTTTTTAGCAAGAATGAAAAGTCAGTCCTAGGAGTCTGCTGACTTCTCTTCTTCAAATGTGTTTGTGAATACGTATTCCTAGTGTGTAAATGTCAGGGGTAATGACAAGGTTTCTTCGTGTAGAAATGGCTATTGGAAGGAGATTGCGGTGGTATGTTGGAACTCGGGTTTTCTCTGCTGGACTACACAACATACCCGATTTAGTGATAATTTAAGTTTTTTTCTTATGAGATTCCTTTAGGCTTTGTATTCACTCGGAGGCTGAGCACAAACGAAATGGTATGATGACGCGAATAGGATGTAAAACACACACAATTCTCCCCATATTGGCAAGCGATGGTCTTGAATGTAAAAAAATCACCATGAAATAATTAAATCGACTTCAAATTGCGGTGGGTTTCGGATGACAAGTTTTGGCTTTTCCTCACGAAGATTGTGGTCTTGTATCTGTTCGGTATTCACTAAATGGATGCATGGTAAAAAAAAACCTCGTGGTACACCACCGAAATCAGGTAGTGTAAGCTGATTAGGTTGGTTACTTCGCAACTGCAACACCAACCGCTGCGACTGCTGGAGATACTCGGCGTATTTCAAGCTCAGCTTGACTCGACGATAGTTCCACAGCGATTGTTCGCCATAGTGAAGAGAATTGGCTTCGGTGTTGGCAGTCGAAATGCGTGAAGCCATGTTGTGTCTTGAGTAGAGCTTACTTGCATTTAGGGGTTTAATAACTAACATACCGTCGTCAAGAATTTTGAAATACTCAGGAGCAATGTTGCAGAATCAGCATGCCGGGGCCCTCAACAGTAGTTTTCTCTCTGTGTGTGTGTGTGTGTGTCTCAAAGGCATGCAGACTGGTTCGCGTGGTGAAATTGATAGGCGTAATTGTGCGTCCACATTTTACGCCCATAATTTATCATGTGTAGTCAATTGTTAACACCAATTCCATCGCTCTCCTTGGCATTGCGCAAATCCACTTTTGTCTATTGGAATGCCTGCCTCTAGGACTCGATTTATCGCAGCAGAAGATGAACTTTCCACGTTGTAGGGTGGGTTCTTGACGCGTCCTCCTACTTAATTCGACGGCATTATTGCATTTGCCAAGTGTCGGTACGTACCTGGTCGAAAATCTGTACGTGTTAAACCCCAGAGCCTTATATTGTGGCGGTTAATTGTATGTTGAATTTTCGCTGACGTTATAACTTAGTGTTATAGAATATAAAGGCCCGAGTTTTAGCTTTAGGCTGGAGTTAAGGCTTCTGTAAACAAAGCACCACCAGCCCACATTCACTTCACACAGGTATTCAGTCGAACTGATTATCTTAGACCATTCTCGAAGACTGTCTACACCGAGCTATCCTGTTCTCAGTACTGCTAGCCTTCGTTTTGAATCGACTCACTCGTGTCGTAGTGCCCGCAATTTCGGTGTTCCGTAATCCCTCACAATGCTGGCCTTCCTTTTTCAACCAGCGGCGATTTCGAGAGGGTGAAGGTCCTGTCTCCCACGGAGCGCGTTCGACTCGCCTTCGACGTGGCATCGCGTTTCGGCGTGGCGCGCGTCTTCCTGGATCCGTGCGAGGTTGTGCGCGGCAAGGGCGGCGGCCCAGACCGTCTCACCATGATGACCTACCTGCACCAGCTCCGGACGCGCCTCACGGCCATGGCGGACAGGCCCGTGGCTGAGGAGGACGACAAGGCCACCGATGAGCCCACCGTCGAGTAGGTCTGCTCTCAGTCCTCTTCCCCTCTCCAGCCCACTTCCTCTCTGCCGCTGCCTCTCGCTTGCACTGCTCATCTTTGACCCAAACTACCCATCCATATCCATGTTTGTTTCCCCTTCTATCCCTTCTCTACTGGGTTGCAAACACCTGTCTGGCGAAATACTCGTTATTCTGTGGAATCGGTTGTCGCGAAACTGCTTATATCTTGGCAAATGTGGGCGGAGCCGTCACATGAATAGGTGCCTCCCGGTGATGGAATACGGCAGTCCTCCTGAATGCAATGTTTAGGCGTCCCACTCACGTTTGTAGCTCTCCACTTTGCGACCTCACTCCCACAGTCCACACCCCGTGTCCGTCTGGCCTTTCACGCTACTAAAATTAGATCAATACTCCAATCTCAAGTGGTGCAAACGATGGGATGGTGGTGCAGTGAACGAAGGTAAGAAGTGATGCCCACTGGCACTTTGAATCAGCGGAGTTAGGACGTCGCCCCCACGTGACTCCAAGATCGCACACTTCTTGGCCCTCAAAACAACCCCGACTCATGTCACCAGTGTTTTCCATGGCTGGTCATGAAGTTGTGTCTCCTAATGTCCTTCCTTTTTAATTCTCTTTTTGTGTTTTACGATGGCCGTCATATGTTCCCAAAATCACCGCAAGGCCTCTCTCCTCCTGTTTTCGCCACCTTCTCCTTCTCACATCTTGTCAACTTAAAATCGCGTATTCGCCTAACACTATTGCCGCTCTTTACGATCCCTGTTCCCCTTGGTCTTGTTTAGTGCGGCACTCCTTCATGCAACTCAAATTTTAATTCCTTTTTCCTTTTTTCTCTCTTTCTGCGTGTGTTTGCTAGGCGCCATGAAGATGACTCAAAGCCCGCAGACAACACGGATTCGGCCAAAATGTCCTCGTCGAAGAAAAAGGAGAAGAAAAAACGCCGCGTGAGTTCACTCGCCTTTCCAGTCTGAACCGCAAGTAGGTGTTTGTGTGCTTGGGCTTTTCCCCAAACCAAAATCCGCCTTATCGGTCCCCACGACATGCGCCACCAGCAGTATAAACCCAGGGTCCCTGTCGAAAGTGTTGTGATAGTCCTACCCTCGTCATCTCTTCAGGTATCCGGTGGCGGGAATGCCTCAGAGCGGTACGAACATCTACTGACGAAAGCTAGAAACCTTCTTCTAGAGTCAAAGACGACGGCGCAGCCTGGGTCTATCGATTTGATGGCATCGCATTTCCCAGAAAACAGCACAGAGAACCAGCCCTCTGCTGACCCGACCCATGGTATAGTTTTTTTACCAACCGTTTCTACTTAAATGTTGTAAGTAGACTGTTATTTTACGTGTCTAGAAACTGGAACGATTGGGACTTACCGGTTTCGTTAGAAGTCTTCTTTTTTCGCTCGGCTTGAACCTTGCTCCTGGCTAGGCAACGTTCTGTCTACTTATCAGCGTGTTGATTCAGATTTCATCGGATTTTCACTAACAGGTCGAGCTATCCTTTCATGTTTGTTTGAACTGCAGGAAATGCCAATGAACAATCAGATCAGTTGGCAGAGACCCCTCAAGCCGGAAATCTGAAGGTTCGCAAGTTGAAGTTGTCTAATCTGAAGCTCTTTGCCGACGGCATGGAGCCACATCTAACACCGAATCACTCCAGTCCGCAAAAGTCACCTCAACCTTCAAGGGTGAGTGATCCGTCATTATAGGAAGGGATCAAAATTAACTTCAATAACCTCCTTTCTGTGCGTTTTCGCCTTCTGATTTTGTAACCAATTGTTTAAAGTGAAATTGTGAGACAGTGCTACTGTGTGCATCCCTGGCATGACGTTAAAAGAGCAGTCACGTACCGTCCCCAACAATTTAGTCGCAATTCAAAGACATGCAGACCTGAAGGTCAAACCGAAGGGTTTTTCAGAAGCACTTTACGGTGTCTCGAAGCAGTCGAAATGGGATCTTGACACTAAAACGGGCTGATTGCTCTAAGCACCTGCTGTGGGGCGTGGAGAGGCCTAGGGAATCGCCCGAGTCACAGTGGCGCACCTCATTCAATCTCCGAAACATTTGAAATCGAAAGTGTGGATAAAGCGGCCTCATGCAGATCAAGGTGGTCACATGTGGCCTCGCATTTCGTGACCTCTTTGTGAGTTCAAGATGCTGACTTTGAGCAGTCAAGTCCAGACAGGGCCTCCTATTTCGGCCATGGAATTCAAGCCAACTTGAAATTGCTCGCACGCATATTCACCCACCGGACACTTTGTCAGCTCACTGTGTTTTTTTTCCTGTCTTGTAGCCTTCCTACAGTAAGTCGACACAATTACCGCCTTTCCCATGTGCTTGCACCAATGCCGTGGTGTCGTGTCTCGCTCCTGGCAGTCCCAAAGATGAGGAAACCAACCCATTCCAGCAGACCCGCCTTTCCCCTTTCTCTTTAGTTGGTAGTCAAAAGCAAAACCCGCGGACAGGCGAACAGCGAAAGCTCCGCGTACATTTTGCCAATTAAAATCAACGTTGGCGGTGTTGGGTGGGTGGGCTGGGTGAGTGCGGGGGAGGGAGGGAGGGAGAGGTGAAACGAAAGATTGCACTGGGTGGTTGCGTTGCGATGGTTTCAGTTGTCACCGGGCTCCGAGGTCGTCGGATTGGGTGAAAATAAGCACTGTGCTTGGATTCCACGTGTCGAAGCTCATGCCAAGTGTGTGCGCACCTCCTTTCCAGGCTGTGTCATCACCAAAGCCAATGTAGAAAAATCTGTGTGGAGAGACATGAGGAGCAAGTAACCTTTCAGATGTAGACCTGGCTTTAGAAAAAGCATGCGCTTTGAGACCCCTGCGAGATGAGATATCGACTGAACTGACTGTGGTTCACTGCGGCACCGCCTTCACTGCCTTTTTCACTTATGCCAGCGCTCATAGCTTCTTATCTAACCGCACACTCGTTATCAGTGAAAGCAACGTTTTGGGGCCAGTTCCTCTGAGGAACTTTGTCGAGGTGTCTGCTAATCAAATGTGCGATGCTAAGTGTAATGCATTTCTAGACTTGGCATTTTGGCAGATTTCGACAAGTGTGTCGCCCCTTGTGTCTCTTGGGGGTGTGTCGGGAGAACGAGAGGTAAAAGCATCACGGCAATTTTCTGGTTTTCGCAACCCCATGCACTCCTTGTTAGAAGTGCGATGCGATTGGTCTGACGCCACTTCAAATCTTTGATTCGTACCGACAGTCGCATGAAACTGCTCTGTGGTAGCATCTCCTCGCAGTCATCACGATCTCAGGATTTTGCAATTAACTTGAACTGCTTCCAAGTGCGATTTCGTCTTGTTGATTGTGAATGAATGCACAACTCACGTCGCTTAATCCTGCCTTATTATTATCGTCACGTTTTTCCCCGACACGAGGAAAGATTCCAGACAAAAACAGTGTGTGGGCCCCAACCAATTTCATTCCACTGTCCTGATATTCATGGTGACACGGATTTGTGCCAACTATAGGTGGTTTCTTCAGCGTTAGCTGAGCCCTCTCACCTCGGTCGTCAACATTTTTCGAACTGTCTTTTATTTCACTGTGTTTGCAAGGCCAGAATACAGTGAAAGTCATGGATAATTTGCACGTCATGGTGCCTGCATGTTTATCTTTTTAAGCACCATACATGAGCCATATTTTGATGCATGCAAGGAAGTCTTTCGTGTTCTGTATACTCTTCCCTACTTGCGTGGCATTCTACTCTGTCCCAACTGAGGATTTGAAGGTTCCAGTTTGCTAGTTGTTGGTGGTGTTTGGTTTTATTCATTCCCAATTCTAACAGTCTGCTTTCTTGATCTCTGCGCCACTTGACCCCCGCTCACTCTAATCATTGTCTCAGTTCTATTGGGCCCCTTACAAACCTGTTGGTCTTTGCAGTTGCGAGCGAGGCAGCCGCCGTGGCCGCTGAGCAGGAAGCGCTGGACAGGGAGGCTCCGTCGTTGGAACGGCGTCTCCGCGAAGTCATGGACACGGGTAGCCAGGAGGAGGAGATGTTGATGCGGCGATGGTTCCAACTGGTCAGCAGGCGAAACGCCCTCGTCCATCGAGCCTACCAGTTGTCAATCATGTGAGTCACATCACACCTCGCCCTCTTTCTATCTTCGGTAGTTAACTTCGTGTGTTGTTAAAATCCGCATTTTGACAGACGGTGCGTAAGCAGTTACATGAATCAGGGTGTATTATCACTTTCTTTCCCGTACACACCACCTATTGGATTCCTCAAATAGTCTAATTTTGATAGGATAAGGCTCCACCGAGCCAGTAATCCCGCCATTGCAGTAAAATCAGCGCTTCCAGCCGTTACTCTTGTCATGCCTAGTCTTGAAGTTCACTGCATAAGACCTCGAAAGGCAAGTGGTCTAAATCCTGAACCGTGCCATCACTGTGAATCACCGCTTCGCCTTCGGTTTTGTCTTTAGGGAAAAGGAAACCGACTTGGAAAGAACTACGGCACTTCTCAATGCTGAACTCCGCGAGTTGTTGGAAAAGGAAGGTGAGCCAAAGAGGGTAGTGTGGTTGTGTGGCCGTTTTCCCCGCCTTTGTAAGGGCTATCGGAATGCAACAACTGCGGATAACTTTAGCCGTATGAGGAGTGTGGTTTTTGAGATTACCGACCTTGGGAAGTTCCTCTTTGCTCGTGTGTGCCTGCTGAAACGTCAAAATTTCGACTTCCTAATCACCAATAGTGTCACTCTCTGGCATCCCTTCTCTGTCGTATTGCAAGGTTTTGGCCCTGTGTTTTAGGCAGCTCCGAGATTGGACCTTTCGCTCGCTGGTTTTATATTTCATTCATTTCATCGTCACCCTGAGCATTTTGAATGAACTCACTTTCTGCTTCCACAAATTTCATTTCAGATAACCTTAAGACCTCAGAAGACCGTGTTCGAGAAGAACTGCTTCTTCGGGAAGTTGTTGAAGTCGTCAACGAGAGGAACGAGATAATTCAAGAACTGGATTATCAGGAGCAGGCGTAAGTCCAACTCAGATCCTCCAAGAGGTGTCCTGTTCCATCACGTCAGCTAATGACTTGGACCTTCCTGTAGATTTGTCAATGAGGTTGAGCTGGGCCTGAAGACGGACGCCATCACTCAGCAGGCCTTTCGCTCGGCCTACGCCACCTCGGGAGGCGACGCCGGCAACCGGTCTTGTGCTATTCAGTGAGGCCTCCGTGGTTTTAATTCCAACTCGCGTGCTCGAATCGAATCGCTTTTATTTTCATGTCTTTCCTTTTGTTTTTTTCCTCCTTGAAGAATTATGAACACCCATTGAAATACAGATACTAATATGCCGAATGCATTTTTTACAAGGGCGTGTTTTGTGGTTATTTTGAAGGCAGGTCCAGAATGTTCTCTGTCGCCTTAAACTTGAAATTGCAACGTCAAGTGCGCGTCGTCCTGCTCTGGGTTTCACGTAAACAGTAACCATGCCGCATGTGTTTTGCCTTGGTTTCGGTTGTGGTGGAAACAGACAAGCATGCGATTAGTTGGGAACTTGGCTACAATTATCTCACCCATTATTGACCTGTAAACTAGTGAACCTATTTTTCTGATTATCGGGATTCTATAATCAATTGAGGTGATGCATAAAAATAGGCCCCTGTGTATCGAATCTAGCGAAAAGGTTTTGGACAAAATGGGCTGAGTAAATGCTAAGTGAGGTGTTTCAGTTATGGTTTTCGTAAAAATGCCTTTTTTAACTTCCAGTGAAACTGAGCCAACTAAAACTTGTGGTTGTGGGTGTAGACTTCTTCCACTTGAAAAATCCACAAAGTGTCATGTGAAGAAAGTTAAAAGCAGGTGGATAACTTAAAGCCAATTCACCATGTAATTTCTGCTACGGATGTGGTGTAAATTGATAACGCAGTGCCAACTAGGAATGAGGCGCCATATAGAAGTGTGATGTTGTGATTAGCTTAAATCCATCTTATAATTCCTCACAGGTGCTGCTCACATCCCATTTTGATGGGGAAAAGAGGGAATTCGACCTCTTGAGGCTTTCCAACCCCAAGATTTTGCGATTACTCCGTTTAGGAGGCAATCTTGAGGGAGAGAGAAGAATGTAAACGGCTTGTAAAGAAAAGGTCTCAATTGGAAAGACAATAGTTTGGTAAGCAGTTAGCAGACTGGTTCATTTCACTTTCCGGATAAGGTTGTATTTAAGGAACGAAAATTCGAAGAGGCTAATAAAGAGCCCGCATGGTCTTCAGGACCGTTAATTGTGACGGCATTAGCATTGCAGGGTGTGTCGGAATTTTCAAGTAAGTTTTCAGAATGGAGACAGTTAAGAGATTTGAAGTGCATAGGCTGCACGCAGCCATGTTTCGACAGTCCCAAATAACAGGCTTCGGATGCATCGTTTCTTCAAATGTGACCGAAAATGTTCCCGGAGTTTTGAAGTAGCAGTACACAAAACCAATCAAATTACGGCATTAAGAAGGTTCGGTATCATTAATCTCTCAACGCGTTTGTTCAAAAAGGTCTACTGTCCTCTAAAAGTCCAAGTAACGTAGGTGTTGATTAAAAACCTGATTAGATCCATCCCATGACAACAGGGCAGGTCTCGTGGTGGTTTTTCAAAGTACTTTTATTGTGAATAAATCAGTCTTTCAGGAATCTGCACTTTACACTGATTTAAAATTTATCAGACTAAGCATCAAGGGGTGATGGTTATGGGCACTTCGTTCATTTACAGTTATTTCAGCAAGTGGGACTTCCCTCAACACGCAATTCACACTTGGCGGGGTTTTCGGTCAAAATTAGATTTTTCCGATGCAGAGGTGATTAACTTAGATGGGAGAATTCGTTTACTTGTTCAGTAATTTCGGTCTCTGTTGTATTCATGCACTGCCAAGCGCAAAGTTATCTTTTTCTGCTATCCGTACAAGTAGATTGTGAGTCCACCACACCCACCAATGACAAAATGCTTAAATTAAAAAAAACATGTTTTTGAGAAGATGCGGTGAGCGTGCTGACGACAACGCCGATAATTGACGATTGGCGGACAAAACGCAGTAAATGTATGTCGTGGTGCGAAATTTCCATTTATGACAGACTCTCAAAAACTTCGACGGATCGTGCGAAATGGCCACCATGGGTCTCCCGGTCAGGAAATTCTAAAGTGAGAGGCTTCTGTTGACCAGAGCTGTCATTTCTGAATAACATTTGTTTTGTTATTGAAGCACAATTTAAGATCCCCAATAGTGGTAAATGACAGCATCTATTGTATACATTTACTGTGTACGTATTTTGGCAATATTTATTATGTGGGATAACCACCATCAAAGCTCCAACTACTGGACTGTTTTAGCTGTTCTTCGATTCAAACGCGTTTATCCATGATTGCTAATGCTGGTGTTAATCGCGAGAGATTTACTTATGAACTATTAAAATTCGATCAAGACTCCACATGTGGCAGTGTGATCAGAAAAACATTGATTTGTTACTTAGAGACCAGAGAGTAAACAAAAAACTATCAAGTGTTGGTAGTCCAAAACATCTAAGTAAGTCCTAATCGAAGGTCGAGTGCCTCTTCGTAGCATAAAGCAAACACGCACTGATGGATTTGAATATCACTATTTATTGTTTTAAACAAAAAAAAGCGCACAACAGAGACCTTGCAATGAATGACGGTTAAAATCTGATCAAGAACCGAATTTATTATGTTGACATTACGCAAGCTGCCTCTGTGGCCCTTTTCCATGCCTTTAATTTGGATGAACCCAAATTCTATGGAGAAATCGGGGAAAGGTTTCCAGTCTCCTTTCTCCTGTTAACTACTTCGCTTCTGTTTTGCTTCCTTTAACTTGTTGCTGCTACTTGTCGTTGACAAAATTATTTAAACCCGGATAGTTTGCACCTTATTGAGTCGTTTAGCACATATCGAAATTTTCGGCAAAACTAGGTCTTCGGGAGCCAAAAGCCCGCTGACTCAGAGCGGGTCTTTCACTTGCGACGTACTGGAAGGTCTTGTCCCCACATGCGCTGCGTCCACAGAAAGGAGTGGGTTCGTGTAGAATTGTTGCCTCCCTCGAACATTTCTTATTCCAATTCGGGTCCTCCACAACTCGTTCAAATAGACCAAAAAAGGCCCAGTAATCGAGGGGTTTAGTGCATTCAACATCCACATTCAGCTACACTTGAGTTCACCAGTTCACCCACATTAGTGTGGTGCAATAAGACTACGTCGTCGATTATCAACAGCTCCCGTAAAACGAGCTAAATTGAATTCTTCGACTTTCTGAATAAATTGAGTAGGTGTGATAGAAAAATGCGTGGTTCTAAACCACACTGCACGCCTGTAGGTCACTGTAAATTCAGCTAAGCCAGAAAAACCACCCAGGAACTTGGCGAATGTGCACTGAAATCGAATTTTCTGGAACCAAATAACATTCGCAGATATTGCTAAACTGGTTCAGATGTAGGTAATGTGTACGAGTGTATGAAGACAATCTGTAGCATAAAGTTGGGCAAGAATTTTGTGGTAGTGGATACACATGGTGAAATGTGTGCGTGACTAGTTTCAATAGCAAGTGTTTACATCTCAGGATTGGTTGTGGGACGAGGAGTAGAGAAGACCCTTTGCCACCGGTCGAAGGACAATGTACACTTCTGACCAAGACTGCAGTGGCATTCCCAGCATCAGGAGACCCATTTGACGGCCTTTCACCACCTCGTCTAGAAGGCGAGCCAGATTATTGAACTGTTCCTCGGTCAACTGCATGTTCTTTCGGTAGTCCTCGATGTTTTGACTAACTAAAGTTCCACAAGATTGCATTTTAAGGACAATACGGAGGAGCTCATTGTAAATTAAAGCGTCTGCGACTTCAAGATCACTCCCCGTTCAAATGACAACGCTACGAAATCGCCTTCGATTGTTTGACTTCAGTAAAACCTCTTGATAGTTGTGCTTATGACTGGCAATTTTTGAGGCGGCTTCACAATAGTGGAATACTATATGTGCTCATAATTAGTGGCGGGAAAGTGCTTATTAAACACTTATTTTAAACATGGAGTTGCTGAGGCCAATGAGTGGTTTTTGGTGGCATTCCGAGGAAGATAAGAAGAATACGGTGATTTCAAGTAAAATAATTCCACGACATGGCATCATAGTTCTGGACTAATTGCGTTGTCCAGGGAAAGCGAGTACCTGGTATCATCGCGCATAATTTGCACACTAAAACGGATATCAAGCGTACTTCCAGGTTTTTCCTCAAATAATTGAATTTTATCAATTATCCGAAAAGAGATTGTTAGGGATTCAACATCCCTAAAACTATATTATTCGAAATTTTCACAATTCCCTTTTTTTGTTATAGTCCGTGTTTATGCGCACCAACTTTCGCATTCATATTCCCCTCCTTTTTCCTATTGGTCCATTCACCTCTGAGTGCCCAATTTATTTCACCCGCACTCAAGGCTGCCCATGGGGCACATAAGCGGACGAGTGTCTCGTCTTGCCTTGTCCTAGTTCGGAGAGGCTCTGATTCATGTGTATTTAGTCTGAGTGCTGGCATGGGAAAGCCGATAGCGCGCTGACAAGGGAACGCATAATTGCAATCTGGGTTTTGCGTACGTTTATCGGTACAGAGACCAACTCTTATGTCCAGTAAAATATTTTAATTAATTGGCTCGCTGTTTAAAATGAACTTTTGCGTAGTTGAATGTTGATGAAAAACCAGCATGCACCCTTCTTACATCTTGACCAGGTGTTTCGTAAATCGCAACACTGAGAACCGGAATTTTTAAGCTGAGTTTTTGATTGGCTAATTTGGGTTCAGCTTCGACTTCAGCCATTAAAAGCCCCAAAATATATGTGTTTTCTTATTCACATTTAGTTTTGAAAGATCCCTTTCAAATTTTCAAAATACTGTTATAATCGCATTAACTTCAAGTGGATTTGATTACTACACACTTTTTATAACGGTAAATTGGTAATTCAGCATAGGGTAAAGCGAATTTAATAACGAGTAGTCAAAATATTCCCAAACCCCTCTAGTGTGATAATTAATTATCATGTGAGATTGAACGAAACTGTCAGTGCTTGTGCGTATCTAGACAAACTTGGACACATTTCTTCCTGTCACTTAAAACGTATTCATCACGTTAATGCTACGCTTATTCCATTACTGTCTACCTAACAGCGTAAATACTGGGATTATGCAAAAGTGTAAGCATCATAGATGACGTCTTTTTTGGCTCCTCTTATGAACACACCCAAACCATCATTGCTTTTTGTGCTTAGTAACAGCAAATAATAACAAAAGCTGCAATAAGACTAACTAAAAATTTAATTTACTGAGAGTTCATTCCATTGTCATGTATTTTTTTATCACACCATTTTAAGTTTTGGTGGAAAATATCTCAACTTGAGGGCTGGAGCGTGAGATATTTGCCTGTTTCGACTAACATAAAGAAAAGTTTCCACCATTGAATCAAGGGTTGCTGCAAAATGTTGACTAATCAAGTGTCACACTGGTATCGTGCAAAAACATCTGAAGAAGCAATCAATTTGGTTTCCTCAAAGACGCAGTAATAGTCAATGCTAGTGCGCCCTTTGAGTTAACCGTTGTAAGTGGATGCATCTGACTGATGTAGCCAGCTGTGTTGGACACGTTATATCTCTTTAGCACACCCTGACAGTGTCGTGTTTCGTAACTCCAAAGTGATAGAGTCCAGATAATTGGGCTTATTTTAAATCACATTCCAAATTTTAAAGGGGTTAGGTGGTGGACAAGAGAAACTTAAAAGGAGAGTTTTTTGTCTAACTCTGAAACTCTCAGGTAAAAGGGGACACTTTGGCCCAATCCTATGGCAAACATTATTACTCCAATGAGTCATGAAGGTGATGTGTCTCAGGGAACAGGTTTCCATATTTATTAAAACGTTACTCCCACGCACTTGTCATTTATTCGACGAATTCGTTGCGGATGCTCCTCTGTAACTCTGGTTTCATTCCTCAATTAACACTTAGTTAACAATATTTTGATTAAATGGTTAGAAAACGTATTTATAGTTACCACCCACTAAAAAACCATGCAACATGACAGGAACGCCGCATTATGGTTCCACCACTAGCATCAAAGCAATTCTCCTCCTTCGAAGTCCTCCCTTGCACCACATTGCTGTGGGTTTCGTTGAAAAACAACCACCATTAACTACCAACTGCAATTAACTTTGAATTCTATATCACCTTTTGCACTGTATAAATGAGCAGAAATTAGTTGAAACGTTATCCCATGTCAAATATCCACAGCAATTTTGAGAGCTTCAAATCTTCGCTTCGGACCCTGCGACCTGGAAAGCTCCCCGCAGTACCGGAAGTGCAAAATGTGGTACTTTGTAATCTGTCCCAACTTCTCTTCTGCGATTATTTTAACAAACAAACGACAATTTCAACTTTGGTTTCCATTTTCTAATGCCTCGTGATTTTCTGGGCATGATTTTTCTTTGGTTGCAGGATTAAAAAGCATTGATTAAGCCATCTTGTTGGCATTGATGTTTTCTACAATTATTTTGGTGCGTCGCTTTAGAATGGGAGAAAAAAATGTGAAAAACAAATTGTACAACCTCGTTTGATTCGAATCCCGAAGAGCAAGACCTTCGGGATTTGAGTTAGTCATTTTCTTAACTGGGAACGCACTTGTGTGTTAATTGGGTTTGCCCCTCTCATTATAAAACAAAGTTTAGGAATTCGTGAAAATTCCTGAATCCATGGTTTGGGTAATATGTGGCGAGCACCAAGCAAGCACAGTTAGCAGTCGTGAGCAAACATGACTCAATTGGTTTACGTTAATGCACCTCACGTAACTGTGTTCGTTCAAGGACCGATGCTTAGCGAAGCTAATATAAACGTACTTGGTATTCTGTTAAAACACACACCACTATTGCGTCAATAAATAAATCGCGCTACGCGCCATCAGATTCCTTCTCTTTCTCCGGACGGACCGTGTCGACGCAGATCGTCGGCTTTGGTGTGGTTCCCAAAACCGCACTAGGGCGCCGCAGCAAATATTTGTGATATTGATGTTTGAAAAGATGAAGTCAATTAGCGGTGATGTGAGTTTGCCCATCCTCCAAAATCGATTATCAGCTTTTTCAATGCACAGCATCCTTGACTGATTACATTGTGCGGGTCTATTCCACTTTTAGGTTTAGAAGTAGCGCAAAAAGAATATTTGGTGAAAACAGGTTTCCGCTCTGGGATACCATTTGTTTAGGAAAAAAATAACTGCACTTTAAAGATGGTTGACCAGTTCACCGCCACCATTTCAAACTGCCTTTAGCGATCTTTGGAGATTAATGTGGTTTTGACTCATCGATCAAGAGATATTTTATAACATTTTACAAAGTGAAGTTTTGCATGAAAGCTCCAGCCCATAACTTTAAGGAACTTGAGCTTAGACAGCAACAATTAGGCATTCTTTTTTCAAATGGCTAACAGTTCCTTGTTCTTATATAAATTCTAATTTGAGTTAGTTTTCCACTTTGAGTGTTAAATTGGTCATGCGACCCAGGTTTGAGCTATTGGTGATCAGCAAGTCTCCCGTTAGTCCCTACGAAGCCATTGCGACTGTCATCATTTTGGATCACTTTTGCAAATAATCCGTTTGCAAAAATGTTCAATGTTTGACTTTTTAGAAGGGAACATTAATCACTGAATCCAGAGGTTCACTAAACTTTCGTTGCTCTGACCACTAGGTTTAACCGCAGCTACTGGCAAAGTCCCAAAATGTGGGTTTTTTTAATAGTGACAATTTCATTTTGATTATGAGTGGTTCCAGTCAAACTTGTTCCTCTTGGCTACTCGGCCGCGAAGCGAGGAGGGAGTGAATCTTTAGCAGCCTTTTTACTCCACAAAACGCCATGCGAATTGGGAATTAAACCTAAGTTGACTCTGCAACTACACCTTGACGTCATAGTCTTGAAGTTGGTCCCCACTGCTTCCTATGTCTCCAGGAATTAGATTTATTTTCTTTCACTTCTGCAAACGCGCATTACAAAAAAAAACAATTTCCAGACCTGATTCGTTCTACGATTGGTCCAGTGACAGACGCGACCAGAGCAGGATCACAAAACTGACGGAGATTTTACTCATGCAGCCAGTCGCATTAATTACGTTAAGAGCCCCATCCTCAAAGACAAGCCGTTCAAAAATGCCCTTGGGGTCTACACAACGCACCACACGAAGCTCTAGCGATGAAAGTTGTTGTTTGATGAGAGATGCTCAATATATTAAAACTTACGTTCTCCCTAACGGTAGGGTTTCCATTTCTCATTAATCGTTAGTGTCCATTTTCAAATATCTTATATACGTTGCTAATAAACAAGCCCGGAAAAGGCATTATCTCTAAAAAAGGTGCCACTCGAACGTGCTTGTAGTAAACAGCTTGTGTTGCGACTATATGCGTTACCTTGACTTCGAAAAAATTCCACAGTCTAATGGCCGTCTTACTTAAAACAGGGGTGGTTTCACGTGCTTTTTAACACATAAACAGTCGTGCACTCACAGGATGCGGACCAGTTACTGTTTATGAAATATTTAAGCCCTACAGCACAAACGATGCATGTCAGCGGTTCGAGCATCAGTCCCACATTGCACTGCTAAGAATTTGCATTAGTTCCGATCACTTAAATTTTTTTCCACAAGACTTGCCTGAGATTTTTGAACACCAGAAAAAAATCACCACTTTTTGGATAAAATGGTGTCAAGTACCTACAAGGAAGTGTTCCTTGGAAATTGATGCTTTAAAAGTCGAGCCAGAAACTGCGCGCAATTTTTAAATTTCTTCCATACCTTACTGCATTCACACTCCATCTGACTGCTCATTAATAGCACTAAAGATGTGGCTGAAAATGTCAGCTTAATAAGTGTGCAAGCACATGAGACACGTAGCACCCTCAACGCGCATAATTAATAGCCAAAGCCTTTGTCAGCAGCACTTACTTGCGAGGTTGTAAGCAATGAATTTGGGCTCGCCGTTCCCCAGGTACTTTGGAACGAGCCAGTGTCTGTACTTCGTGATGAAACCCTCCAAAAGTGCAACGGCTGGACGATTTTCTAAACAAAAATGTGTAAAAATCCCACACTTTGATTGTTCACTACCGAATGACAAAAGAAAGATGCAGATTTTCGAGCCTAATTCAAAGCAGGCAATGATCGAATTCCTTCAGCTGCCTCACAAGGGGGTTAGCAGATGTGGCTCTTGATTTTCACTACGCGTTTGCTGACGCATTTGCGTTTTAATCCGCACATTTAGTACTTTATGGCAGAATTTTTGTACTTACATACATTAACACATTTTGAAGCAATCTCTCTGCCGACTTTCTCCTTTCAAGATCAAAACAAAGTTGAGAGCGAGTGACCATGAAAAAGCCGTATATTAAGCTACTTAGGCATTCCAATAAAAACCGTATCCATTTGCCTTATTTTAATGTTCCTCAAATGAACTACTACTCACACTAGACGCCAAAATGCTGACAATGTGTAAAAAAAGCAAGATTAATCGGTCAAATTGCTGGTTTATCTTTAGCAGTTTTTACAGGTGATGTGAATCAAGTCGTCTATAAAAATTAACATTAAAGGGGCATTTTTTGCGCCTAGTAATAGAGAGCCGACATTTGTTTTGTACGTTTGTGTAGCATTAAGCGTTAATGAAAACGCCGATGCTGGAGTTTGATACGGTTGTTGGGGTCCATTACTGCATTTTTCGTTTTTGAATCCCAACATCTTGCAACTCGTGTGCCGGCGGATCTTTTTTAAACCCATGAAACAAGTTGTGCCAATTCTCCCCAGCAAAGAACCAGCTTGGACTTTGCTTCATGCAATTTTATTTTGATGAGAATATACACGTTTTGTCAGCATTATTTTCTGAATGGGACATCTACATGTTAGCCACTTCTTTAAATGAATGCAATTAGCCTCTCCCAATATATAATTTTCAAAAGAGGCTTAATGCTTGTAGGCTTCCCATAATGATTTGCTGTTCAGTTTGAAGCGGTTTGGCTGCCATAGTGGTTTTGCTGTGCTTATAAAATGGTTTTGCTAAGCCGAACACATTAAATATTTAGTAATGGCCTTCAAACTGGATTGGTTATTTTCATATTCAACCTACTCGCAACACACAAACGCGGATTCTCGTCGTAGCCATCAGGGCAGTCGATTTCTCCATCGCAGACGAATGCAAACGAGAGACAAAAGAAGTACTGTTGGCAGGGCCATGGGGCAGTAACAGGACATCCGTTGCCCACGGGAACCGCTTCTTTAATTTCTGCAAAGGAATTCATTCGTTTGTGTTTGGTTAGGTAGAATGTGTTTTAAGCCCCACATTCACGCCATCCAGGTAAATATCCTTTTTAGTGTCCTGACAGGGCTTTGTGAAGTGAAAGCCCACGTAATGTTTGCAGTGCTATGCATCAAAGTACTTTCTAGACTTGAACGAAACACCCCAAATTCATCAACAAGTCAACCAATTACCCAACCGGGAAACTTTTTCAACAGCCCTGCCTGCACAAGCGCAAAGGTTGCAGGTCAAAAATATCCAACTTCTGAAGAATTCATAATCAAAGAATTGGAGGACTGGCAGCACGAAAACAGTAGGCAGGGAATAACTCCTGGTGATTTTACCATTATAACGCAGGCCTAGAAAAAACGGGCAATAGGCCGACACAAACCGGACTATTGACCTGCTAATAGTGATAACAGTTTAGGTCAAAAGCAGTTGTTGATCTCAGAAAGAAAACTAAGAAAATCCATTAAAATTCGTTTATTTGAAAAGCACAAAAATGGTGTCTGTGACTTTATGGATAAATTCGGTTTGATGAAATTTATGTTTTTTGAATCAGTGTCGCCTTGTTAGGATTGGTCACAGGTAAAATTAGTCGACTGAATTGGCTGCTTACAGAAATGTTATTAGACTTTACCTTTTACTTGAGTAATGCGTTGTATTTTAGTAATACTTTTTGCATGAATTCGTGACTCATTTTTGAAATAGAAACACAAAACTTTCTACACTTGTTAACATTTTCCTAGAGTTGAAGCATTTCGATTCAGGTGAAATGTTATCCAGACATCCATGGGCTCAAGCGGTGAATGAATCCTAAACATCATCATCATTATTATTGCCCAAAACGCTGAGACATCAACAACTCGAAAACCCATCAAGGATGTTTGTCGATGATTTGTGTAACATGGACAGTGCCTTGGACCTGCTAAACCCCTTTTAATACTACTTAACATTATGAAATAGCTGACCTAAGTAGGCACAAGATGACTTAATGTTCAAATACATCTTTGCACTATTTCTCAAGTGCCAGAAAGTAAATTCTTTCCTCTTTATGGGTATCATCATGGGTTTGTTTGACTGTTAAAGTTTTACTTTTTGTCCCATTCAAGGAGTGCCAAGTTAACAAAATCGCCGCAAGTTTTGAAGTTCAACCAAGACGTATTTAAGCATTTTAGTTTAAACAAGCAAAATGTCAAGCCTGAAGGTTAAGGTTTGGCGAAAGAAACCGCTAGATAGAGCGTGAAGAAGGTACCAACTATCGTGTTTAAAACCCATTGCAGAATTGAGCTTACGTGAATCCAGAAAACGCTGCACTTGTGACTAACTTAGGGAGCTTAATCAACGTAATGGAGTTCTCTCTTAATTCCATCGACAGAATGGAGATGAAGTTTACATTGCGGTGAAGAGATGCGTTTATCTCGTCCACAACGAGTACCGCGAAATATTCCAGCGACCTCACACCGATATTAATGGTTCTGTCGATGGATTTTCGCTCAGCCTTTAGTGTGAGTACCCAATTTTGTGACTATGGCATTCAACCATGGGATTGTCCCAGGCACGAACAGCTAGGAAAACAAGTTTTGCAAGGCCGCAATGAACTACTCACCTCCCTTCCCCTCGTGGGCATTATCCTCCTCCTGCTCCTCCGGCATGTCATGAATACTGCCGGCTACTGAATATTCCTCTGGCAGAAACTCCTCTTCGGAGACGTGGATCCTCTCTGCAATCCTGTGGTGTGCCTGCATCAAGTCAGAGGTGAGCAGCAGCAGCAAAAGTGCTAGCAAGGTCATGGCGTTGGGGTAATTTGGCTCTCGACCTGACTTTAATAGCGGCGGTTGAGATCGGGCGAACACATTGTTTGTGCTGCTAAATATGCATAAAGTGGAAGAAGTCAATGAATACGAATGGATTTGTCAGTACTTGAACTTAGTCACCCCAAAATGTTGAGTTTGTAGTCGTTAAACTGCACATTCCCTGGATAAGTGACACAGTCGTATACCCTTCTGAGGCCATAATAGTGTTATGAGTAACACGTAAAAGGGAAATACTCTGTCGGCAGATTGCACGGCGTAATGGACCATGCGTCCATACTTACGAAGTATAAAAAATGCATTAAGTCTACATTAAGACTACACAATTCGTAGCAGACCTTAAATTGAATTGGGAACGATTGTAAATTTCGCATGTGCTTTCGAACATCAACATGCTTCCAGATATGCATGCCATGGAGTGACTCGCATGTCACTTCATTCCCACAAAGGCACAATCAAAAGACCAAAAGGACCAAAACGGGGCGACTTAATGACAGTTCACTTAGCCCATTTAGGATGTGAACCCAGTGGGCTATTTGTCACCTTCAACCACAATTCTCCTCCTTTTGCATTGCAGTGCTAGTTGGCACTATTTTCGTCTTCCGACTCACTTAAATAAGCTGTCTACGATATACACTAAGCCCAAACCACGATTAAGCCAGCCGGTAGAATCGATTTTCGGCACATTCCTTAGGCCTTCAGTTCGCTGATTGTGGCAATACAGTAGAAAATTTTTTGTTTGGCCCTTTTTTTCTATTTCATTTTTCTGTCTTTCTAGAATCTTGAAAATGAGAAGGGAGACCGACAATTGTTTAAGGAATTTAGAAATAGTTATGCTGATGTGTGTTTGCTTAAACTGTCTTAATGAACGTGGTCACTTAATGTGTCCACTAATTTTTGCAGCATGAAAGTGAAACTGGTGATACTATCCTGTTCAATTTTAAGTTTGTGTTGGAAATTAAAGCTTTGGAGTAGTAATTACATCAGGTGCTTGGCAGAATGATAGGGACAGTTCTTCTGGAAGTAGCAATAGTTGCTCACATCGGGTTTGAGTTCTCTCTTCAGGACAAAATCAGGTTCTTTAGAAACGGTTGCAAAAAAATGTGGTTTATGTTGCATAACAGGTGTCCTGAGATCCCAGGCCCCCACCTACGCATAAAACAGGCAGTGAACAGACTGAACCATCTGCGTGTTTTAATACTTAAGTAGTCATGCAACCAAATTTTTAAAAAAATTCCCTTGGTCGTGATCAGAAACGCTGATTGTAATTTATGTAGTGAAAGTCTTAGTTTCAGGACTTTGAACTCGCATCCTGTTCACCAGTAATGCCTCAAGTCAAATTCCAGCTAACTCAACACTGCCCTCTATATATTTTCTTTGCTAAGTTACTAAATTCCAGGAAATCGCAAACGCTCAATAAAATTTGGTTATACCAATGGAAAGAGTTTTCGTAGTTTAAGATGGCAGTTAGTCATTGTCCCTAACAGTCAAATATTTAATGGCCGGTGGGTAAATTACATTTTTTAAATGCTAGGATGCAAGAAACAAGCCTCTTTTGTTGGCTAACTGCATGCCCTTCTATTTAATTTAAGCAGGAAACAAATTTCTTTTTGTTAAATCACTTAAAAAACATTTTTGTGACTGTCCTCATTAAGACCAAATTCATGTAATTAATGGATATCAATTAGTTACTTTCTCCTGGGTTTCGTCGTTGCGCATTTTACCGCGCTGTCAAAAACCACGAATCCTCGTTACGGATGAAGTTGCCACGAGTAATTCAAGACAAATATGGCATAAACCAAGATCGCTTAAGTAGATTGTGGGAAGTTTAGATCGTTTTTGTTTGGGGTTTGCTTTCGTTAAAAAACTGTACCATTGTGCGCTGACTTCTCCTAACCTCTTGACGACTCATAACACTTACACAAGTCTTGGCGTCTCATAATACATTTAATTTTCTCCAGGTGTGTGGTAGTTTTGGTAGCAATCAAATATTTAAAAAAAATTCAAGACACACTTGGTATGACTTTTGAGCTTATTTGTGAAATCAATTCTTTACCGAAAAAGACTTAACTGATCGGTGCTCCGTGCTCTTACAAACCCACGGCGCATTTTGTCAAAAGTTTTGCAATATCCGTTGGAACGACTAGATTTTGTAATAAACCCAACCGTTAAAGCATCACTGTGCAAAAAATATTAATGAACAACATGAAATTATAATTCAAGTCCGCATTATGTTGGTCTCTACACCATGTAGCCTTTACAACTTACACAGGGAAAAATACATTTTTTGAGGTTTCGGCACTGATTTAAAAACAGACGTTTACTGAAAAGCTATGGGTTTGACTTATGAGATTCCGATTTTTTCGGACTAATTTTCGAAACATTTGGTAGGAAAGCGAAATAAGGTCTAAGAAAACTTGAACAATAGCCTTTACCAGGCCTTAATGCTATCGGATAACTTTCCAGGTACGCATGGCACTATTGCCGTTAAAAATTTACCCCTGAATGCAATTGTGCATTTTAAACCATCATAAGGCATAAGTGATTTTTAAATGACCATTGTAGAATTTGGGGTTAACGCGAAAAACATTGTCCCGTAAAACTACTAACAGTGAGTCTGTCAGCGGTTGAGACTGCGAAGAACCAAAGATTCATTAAAATTGTCATCTCAAAAAAAATTGGTTGTATAAATATAAACGTTTAGTATATTTACCTTTTATTTGTAAACTAATTACTAAAAGGCTAGGGTGACCTCTTTGCTCCCTTTCTGACCACCCTTTGGGTTTCAGCCAATCACTGGGCGCTCGCTCACTCGTGCAAAGTTTCACTTTTGAGCCAATCAGCTAAAAGGAATTAATTGATTCGTGCTTCATTACGCTGGTAATTACTCAACTATTGCTTGAGATACAAGGAGAAGTATTTTGTTCATGGGTGTGTACGAACACGCAATATTTGGAGAAACCTTAGCTGTATAACATGCAAATTTAGATCAAATCGGCCTTTTATATACTAGTGAAGATGGCTCTGACCAGCAGTTAACTTTGCGCAATACGAAACCCACTGCTATGAGTGTTTCGAGTCATCACTTCACTACACAGGTCCTTTTTGGCGTAGGTAAAAGATGTTCCAAAAAGAAAAAGTGTCACTTTCAAATTTTTTACGGTGAAAACAAATCCAAGAAGTTGTTGTT